AAAAAATCCTAAAAGGTCTACATACAAAATTTTACAGCTGATGAACACTTTCAAAGTAGCAAGACAAAAAATTAACAGGCAAAAAAAAAAAATCAGTAAAGTTTCCTGATATACAAATGAAAGACCGAGAAAGAAATCAGGAAAATAGTACCTTTCCCAATAGCCTCAAAACAACAACAACAAAAATACGTCAGGATTACTGTAACCAAGCAAATGAAAGACTTACATAATAAAAACTTTAAGACACTGAGTAAGACGGCAGATGTAAACATCTCCCATGTTCCAGGATCAGATCCAATGCAATCCCCATCAAAATTCCAACACAAGTCTTCACAGAATTTAAAAACAAAATCTTCAACATCATATGGGAAAACAACATGAAAACTAAAAGCAATCCTGAATAATACAAGAACTGCTGGAAGTAACACAACCCACATTTCACGTTGTATTATAGTAAAAAAACACCATGGTATTGGTACAAAAGAAGACACACTGATCAATGGAATTGAATTGAAGGCCCAGACATAAGTCCACACACTTAAAGACATGGAATTTTTGACAAAGAAGGCAATGATACATACTGGAGTAAGCACAGAATCTCCAACAAATGGAGCTGGTAAAACTGGCTAGGGGCAGACAGGAGAATGAAAACAGATCCATATTTATCACCCTGCATGAAACTCAACTTCAGATGGATCAAGGACCACAACTTAAGAGCTGAAAGCCCGGATCTGACAGAACAGAATTCCTGACGCCAGAAAGGATTTTCTGAACACAGGTATGTAATCCAAAATTAATGATTGGGATCCTCATGAAACTAAAAGGTTTCTGTACAGCAAAGGACATAGTCATAACAGCAACATGATAGCAAACAGAGTGGGAAAGTCTTTACCAATCATATATCTGGTAGAGGGTGATCATCTAGAATATATAAAAGAAACCTAAAACAAAAAAAAAAAAAAGAGAGAATAACCCGAGCATCAAGGAAACAATTACCCAGCTTTGAAAACAGGATGCAGAACTAAACAGTGTTGCCAAAAGATGAAACACAAGTGACTAAGAAACGCTTTTTAAAATGAAATGCTTTTTAAAATGTTCAACGTTCTTAGCAGTCAGGGGAATGCAAATTAAAACTACTTTGATATTTCACAGGGCTGACAGTACATGCTGGCAAGGATTCAGAGGAAGGAGAACAGTCAGTGACTCGCGGCTGCTAGAAGTGCAAGCTTGCGTAGTCACCATGAAAACCAACGTGAAGCAGCTTCAGAAAGCTGATCTACCACGAGACCCAGCTATACCAATCTTGGGCGCGTACCCAAAGGACTCTACATCTTACTTCAGAGGTACTAGCTCATCCCCGTTTCTCTCCGCTCTATGTATAATAGTCAGAAATTAGAAAGGAGATGAAGCTTCCCAGGAAGTGTAGATAGAATACGGTGCAATAATGAAATAAAGGGCGGGCGAGCATCGGAGGGCTAACTGAGGAGGGGGAGTGGGGGAGCAGGGCACAGAAGGGAGTGTGAGACGGGACAGCTAACCCTAGAAGCCTTTTGAAAAGCCAGCTGGAAACCTGCTGCTGTAGAAGCTTCCTAAAAATAGATACACAGTGAAAGAGATGTAGATGGAATTGTCACATAACGGGGCTGGAGGGGGCACAACGATTCCCAAATTAGAGACCCCATGTCATCAAGTAACACTCCCAGCACCATGAATGAGTTACTTTGGTCAAAGGAGTCCCATAGACTCAGCTACTGGGCAAGCCCGTTGGTTACTCTCTGAAACCTGATGGATGGTGGAACCCTATTGCTGAAGACTCCACTTACTTACCAAACACCGAGAAACTGAAATCCACCCCGGCTAACTAGCATTCGTGGTTCTGGAAGGTAACTCGTGTGCTGCTGGAGGTGAAAGGTAATCATTAATACCATTTAGCTCCAAATCCTGAGATCCATAACTTCAACCTACCTGCAGATTTGCCCGCTGGTGCGACAGCGGCACAGATATTCTGGGAGTAGCCAACCACTTCCTGACGGGATGTAAGGCCCACTCCGTGAGAGGAAAGCCATGCCTGACACTGCCAATAGACTGAGAACCTGAGACCACATAGGTCATGGCCCCAGGGAAGTCCTGCTGCTGCCATGCTCGCTCTTCAGAAACATAGCTACTCATAGATCCGCGCATAGCTCAACCCTTATCAGGATGCTCCTTCTTGCAGCCAACGGTCATTATTTAACACAGAGACCCACAAATGGACACCGTGACAGTACTGGGACGCTAAGCCCTGAATGGTGGGCTTCCATCACAGCCCTCCCTCCAGGCACAGGAAATGGAGGCACAAGGATTGTGAGAGCCAGAGGTGATGGGCGGTTCCGAGGAAACAGCACCTTCCAGACACAACGGGACTCGTGCACGTATGAACTCACAAAGAACGGAACAGGAGGCAAAGATGTGCACGGCCTCAAAGCCCAGAGGACGCTAGCACTGGGAAGGGAAAGCAGACACAAGATCCCCCTTTTAAGCAGGAAATTTCCTCCAGTAGAGGAAACAACTGGGTATTATCAGTCACATTCCAGGGCACGTCCAGAAGTAGCTAGCCAACACAAAAAAGAACTCCACGGTCTTCTTCTTGCTGTCTGCTTGTTTTGTGTGTGCTGTTTGTTTCATTTTGGTGGTTTTTGTATCTTGGGCTTTGTTTGTCTTGACTTTCTCTTTTTGGTATTTATTTTGAGAGAGAGGGCATGAAGTTGGGTGGGGAGGGAGGGGAAGAAGCTGGGAGCGTCTGGGGGTGGGAAGTTTATGATCAAAATGCAGTGAATGAACATAGTTTAAAGAAAAAATAAACATAACTTTATGTAAATAAATGTAAGAGAATGAATACTTAGTGGGGGAAAATGGTTTTCTAACTTCAAGAGCTCAAGGCACACTGGAAGGAAGTAGGTGAACACTACTTAAAGCAGGTTCTGATGGGTTCTACCACTTAAACAAAGGCAAACGCATAACACATATAAAACAGACATGTAAATGTATTCACAGCAAATACTATAGCTAGACATTTAATGACTTGTTTTCAAACATAGATTTTTACAGTGTTATATTTTAATATAAACATGAATGATCTTGTGTTTCTTGATCATAAACCAAATGAAAGTGCAGAAGACTTCATAACTTCTCTTTTGATGTAAGACAGGCAGAAATTGAGATTTTACTACGTATATGAAATGGATTGTCAAGCTGGAGCTGACCGAGAAACAAATCTACACCAGTGAATTGAAAAACTAAATAATAGGAAGAAAAAACTATTTGTCAACTAAAACTAAGAACAATACATAATATAAAATCTATAAGGTGTCACATGGTTTTAACTGAAAAATTAAGATAAACCAAGGTAAGTAGCAAACATCTTTGACGTGGAGGTTTCACTCAAGATAGCCAGTCCCTAAAGAGAGGACAGAGTGAGTGTTCAAGGTGCGGGTATATAAATGTATTTTCACATTTTGCAAGGGAAATCTGTAGCTGTGTAAACAAGAAATTGCCAGAAATGTATTGAACAACAGTAAAAAGAAGCATACAGAGAAAATAATTACTCCCGAGGAAAATAATAGAAAAGACTAAAAAGATGTAAAAGAAAATTAAAGTTAGCAATAGCCATTTAACACTTAAATTACGAGACACTAAATTTTATTAAATTTATTGAAAGGCACCAGCAAAATTGATTGCTAGTATTATCAAAGTTTTCTTTCGGATTTCCTTCCATATTTATCTATGTGATTTCATACTTCAAGAATTTACACATTAGTTTTTTTTTAAAACTTGGCATATATCAACTCCTAACTAATTAAATAGGGATGAAGATGGTTACACATAGCATAATAATACTCTCGAATTAACTCTAAGTGAACACACCCCCATGCCGTCACCACGACTCTCTTCCCTGCCTAACTGGCCTGCAAATGTAGCCAGTCAACTGACTCAAAACTCCAGTCGCCTCCTCCAAGCGTGGGTCAGTAAACACTTGGGAAGAGGGGACGAGAAGAGACTGTTAGAACAAGGTGATGGGGAGGGGTGACATGAAAAGCTGTCATCAGGACATGACGCGGCTGCTGCACCCGTGAACTCACACAGAAGGGAGGCTATCTGCAAGATTTGTTCAACCACCCTATCAACATTGCATTATGGGTAAGGGTGGGACCCTTGAAGTCCCACCCACGCACAAGCTTATGAGCAGTGAATGGTTGCTGAGGAAGAGTATATACTTCACTGATAAGTTGCCCCTGATCAAGTCAATCAGCCCCACCCATACCCATGACACACGCATGTATACACGCATGCAACCACAGAAAGACATTGAAGGAGAAGGAGGGTTTATCAGGAAGAAGGAATTTGGAAGAGTGGGGGGGGTACAAGAGAGGATGGAGGGAGCCATATGATCAGAATACATTATACATGTATGAAACTGTGAAAAATAATAATAAATAATGAGTAAAATATTATCAGAACCAGAAAGTGACCAAAGCTACAAACAGCCTTGAGAACTTAGTAAGCACTAGACACCTCCTTTGCTTCTCTTGTCAGGAATATCCATTCTCTGCTAAGCACCAGGCAGGTGATACTTGCCTCTAAAATACATTTTTGAGTATTTATTATCCCCAAATTCACTGGAATTAAGTTATAATGAAGTTGAAATGAAAGAGAGTGCTCCAACAGACTGAGCATTTCTTAGAGACCCAAGCCTATCTCCAGTGGACGAGTTGATCAGCCATCTTTGACCAGGTAACCACAGGCAAATTTGCAAGGCAACAAAAAGATGATTCTAGCCCATCACAGAGAAGGTATTTTGAGCATCCTAGTACAAACAGTTTATATAGCCTTACTTTACAGTACTAGGGCACTGTGTGCGTTTCACTAATAACCACACATGTATATACAAACACGGAAGGGGACTGTGTCACACAGACAGGAGCGTGCAGCGCTACACAGACTCAGGCGTAAGAAAAGGGTACCTTCTATGCCTGCGATGGTGCTCTGCGGTCTGACTGTATCTGGAGCGAGGTAGAGTGACACAGTGACTGTAGCGTGGCAGAAACGAGAGTCGGGTGAGACTCAGGAAAGAAAGGAAAAGGTCAAGTTTAGCTCTGAACGTCTGAGTCAAACAAACATCAGAGAGCAAGCACCGCAAATGGACTTGCTCCCTGCAAGCCCTGGCCATCGCCTCAATGCCCATCGGAACATGGCCGCGGGGAGGGTAAAAGAGGCCAAATGTTCTAAAAATAAAATGCAACAGAATATAACACTTAGATTTTTGAATTAAGTGATAAAATTACACACCACCTCAATGTACCAAGCACCATGTTTTAGCAAATGTCAAGTTACCAAGATGTTTTCCTTCTTTTTAGGAGAAAGAGTGAAAAGAAAACAGTAATAAAAATGAGCAGCAAGTTTAAGGACAGAGAGGTGACACCTCATGAGTATGGCTTAGGACATCTCAAGAAGTTCTGTTTGTGGCTTATTGCTGACTCCTGACAATTCTGCATCTATTGGAATAAGTTTCCTACCTTGAAATCCTGCTCCTCCTATAACCCAGGTCATTCTTCACTTGTACAGACTCAAAACCACCTCCCGTCTCCATGCCGCCCTCACACCCCTCGTCACCCCCTTCCACCGGACGCCACCAGACCCTCTCTGCGCACAGCGTGTGCTCCCGACTCCACAGCCTCTTCGTGCTTGTCACCCCGACAGGCCCGCCCACCACGCCCAGCCTGCCTCTACTTCTTTATGTCTGGAAGTTCTGCTCATCTTTAAAGTCCAGATTTTTTAATCCTTTCCCACTAAACTCACACAAGTAATTTTCTAACTAGTCTTTCTGTTCTAACAACATTAGATCAATGTCACAGCACAGTAATGCCTATTGAACCAAGACAGTGCCGTTTTAAATTTCTGTACATAAGGGATGACCCACTAAGTACTTATGACATTTTAATATTTGGTTGCCAGGTGGTGGTGGTGGTGCACGCCCCTAATCCTAGCACTCAGAGGCACAGGCAGGGCAGAAAAAGAAATTAAATGGCACCAGTATCTCAGGTATCCCAGAGGTTTATAATAAGGCATTTTCTTTTTTAGTATAGAAATTGCGTGAGAACTTATAATTCATCTTCTGATGGTTAAGCAGAAGACAGGAAAAACAATGGGGGCACGAGGAGGGAAGGAAATCCCTAATCTAGGAGTCCGGTTAAAGGCTCTGCTCACTGAGAAGCAGGAGTCCCAGCACAATCACTACTTGACTTTGAATGTTGTTAATGTGAAACAGTGCCCTTTGCATAGGCATCGGTCTCATAGTAAAACGAGAAACCAGCCATGAGGCCTGAATGCGCATGACCACAGTAGGTCTCCTTCCTCTCCTTGGGCCTTTTGAGATGTTCTAGCAAGACTGCTACCTTTGTTTGCTGTAAAGTGGTGCTACTTTCTGAAGCCCTATGATCTTATCATTTATAATTCCAACAGGAAGTCTTCTGGAAACACCCTGAGACCTCATTTAGGCCCCTTAGCAAACCACTGAAGACAGCAACTTCAAATCTCACTAAAATAGTGTAAATGACTATTATGAAAACAATGAAATGGAGTTTCTCTTACAGAAGCCCACGCCCAGGTTCTAGAGTCTTCTGAGCACCTGTCATTTCTTTACCTTTATTCTTAAATACTGTATTAGATTATCACTTATTTCTACCAAATCTGCTTAGTCCTTGAATTCTCTTCTATGCCAAAGCCATACATTGCAGCTGGAACAGAGCTGAGGTCCCTGAAGCCTGCAGGGTCCTCCGGCTGCTGAGGGTGGCAGTGTGGAGTTCCGCCGCCTCCACGCCACCAACCCCGACTTTACAATCTCGTTTATGATGCTAAAATCATACTTAAGAGAATGAAAAGCAACCAATAGAATATGCTGCAGCTGGACTGTGGTGGTGCACGCCTTTAATCCTGGCAGTGAGGCAGAGTCAGGATGACCTCTGTGAGTTTGAGGCCAGCCTGGTCTACGGACTCAGTTTTGGGATAGCCAGGGCTACACAGAGAAACCTGGTCTCAAAAAAAAAATACAAAAAACAAAAAACTCTGTGTGTGTGTGTGTACTGCATATTATATATATTTTTAATTAAATTAAATATATAATTCTCTACATATTCTAATAGTAAGTTAACTCCTATGATTAAAATCTTAAAAATATTTCTTGTTCTAAAGCCACATGTTTATATCCCCTCACAAATTATGTTTCCAGCTGTAGTAGTTACCAGGGTTACTAAAGAAATGAGTCAAAAGGTGTAGTGGGGGGGGGGTGAAAAATAAATGTAATCAATTTACAATGCATTATTGTAAGTAATAATCTGCATGTAAGTGCTTGCATTACTTGTAAATAGTATTTATTTTTCACAACAGAGTTGTGACTAATGATAGAGTGAGACAGATAAGGAATCAAAGACTCAATAAAATATAGATACATAATTCTTTTTTTTTTTTTTGAGGCACGGTTTCTCCGAGGCTTCTGGAGGCTGTCCTGAAACTAGCTCTTGTAGACCAGGCTGGCCTCGAACTCACAGAGATCCGCCTGCCTCTGCCTCCCAAGTGCTGGGATTAAAGGCGTGCGCCACCAACGCCCGGCTTCGATACGTAATTCTTAAACACTACCCATAAAGATAAGGAATGCTATAGATCATGCATTCACTGCTGAAATATAATAAAGAACTATAGTATAATGCAAACAGCAGCATATCACATGGGATACGGTAGGTGTAAAACTCTTCACATACAATTATCCAGCGTGTGATCAGATCTACTTCATACTGAACTGTAGATATGTCTTGCTTCCGTAACTGTAGTCTTGTTGATTGAACAAGCATTCCCATTTCTCAAAGTCTAGCTCAGGTACCATCTTCTATATTTTTCCACAAAGCTTTAATTAACTAATTCTCAGACTTTTTATTTTTGTTTGACTATTGTTACCTTTCTTGATTCAGGTTAATTGTTAATCTTTAAATTTAAAATATTTGAAAGTCAATGTTTTGTTAATGCTATATATACATTATTTTTATTAAATACTACAATATTTTCTTTCTTTTCTTGTTTGTTTTATGTAGTTCAGTCTCATTGAGCTAGCTATGTAGCCAAGCCTGGTCTTGAACTCCTGAACCTCCTGCCACTATGTTTTGAGTACTAGGATTACAATATGACTGAGCTAACAACACACACTTTTGATAATGTATGGCTGTGTGTTCTATTTTGTGGCAATAGGCTGTCCAATAAGGAATATAAAACACTCACTGGAGGCAGTGTCACTTAATTTGTATAATTTTATACAATTTGTATAATTTTATACAATAAAATTAATAGGTACAGAACTCAAAGCTTGGCTTTCCCAAGACATACTTAAGATCCTAAATATAAATTCAAGAACACTTGGTTCCAAATCCTATGAAAAGTGTACATTCAATTAAATGAATTTCTAATTCAACACATTAGATTTCATTAGATTTTATGAATGATAAAGTCCCTAAATTATACTACTTACTAACACAAAGAACATTGTTTCTTTGACTTTTAATACACACTAATAGCAACTGATTCTTGTGTTAATCAAAGTTTGATCACTATGACAAAAGATTGGATATCACCAATTTCAAAGAGTAAAAAATTATTTTGGACCAGTTCCAGATGTTCACCCACCATAACAGAGATGGTAAGATGAACAAGACCAGTTATGTCAGGATGGCCAGGAAATGGGAAAATCAAGGCCTGTCTTAGCTAGATTCCCCGTATTATCTTCCCTCTAGCTAGGTTAACAGCCTACTGGGAAGCCACCTATACTAAATTCAAGGCAGGTCTTCCATCAGAGCTCACCTTCTGCAAATTCCTCAGAGACACACAAAAGTGGCTTTATCGGTCACCCAGACATATCTCAACTCCAACTGAACTGAGCAGATTCACAATTCCATGAGATGATATTCATAAACATAAAGCAAGAGGACACTCCCCTTTTTAAAAGGAGCTTCAGATACACGCGACTACAGAAAATCCTTAAGACTATGAGACCAGAACAGACACTCAGGGAGAAAACTGTGCCATGAAAGCTGCTCCTTGCATTAACGAATTGCACAAGTAGTCAAAATAATACAAGAAATGCTTCCTATTGTTTGTTTCTATTGAGATGAAATTCTACTGCACGTAATGCTGTGAAAAGACTCCCGACCAATCCCAACAAAGAATTACTGTGATCTGCATATTGCATCCTTCCTTGTAAAAGTGAGAAGAACTCACACAGGTCTACCTTCTTTAAAATCTCCACAAACCTTTGACTATTCTTGCTACACTAAAAGATTCTTAAGATCATGAAGAAGAAAAAACATAATGACTACATAAAATAGGGATTAATTATCTGTGTTTTAACAGAAAATATTAAAGGTGAATGGTTCTGTGTTTGTGGTCATTAAATCTAGCAATATGTGCCTTAAAATATTGACAAATATTATGAATTTAATATGACAGTAAGTAGCTATTTTTATAATTTTATTCTATTACTTTCTGTGAGGATTAGGCCCTATATTTTAGACTTCATATGGAGTCCATTTTTTTATCATTAAACGATCACTTTATGTAAGCTTACAAGAAACTTACAGTCATTTAGACAATTTTTTTTTGGTTTTTTATGAGACAGGGTTTCTCTGTATTGTTTTGGAGGCTGTCGGTCCAGCCCGGCCTTGAACTCACAGAGATCCGCCTGCCTCTGCGTCCCGAGTGCTGAGATTAAAGGCATGCACCACCACTGCCTGGTCTATTTAGACAATTTTATTCCCTCAATAAGTTAAGTTTTCAGTGGCTAAGGAGCTCGTGACAGTTACATAAATAATTTGAAAAGCTATAAAGTTTATTAACATTCTATTAGGCAACGAAAATACCTGCTGACCCTTTTTATGACTCGTTCCGGGTCTAAGGCAAGCCAACAGAATGATCCTGCTGTCACTCTTACTGACTGATGGGCTTGTCTCCCGGCAGCCAGCACACTCACAACTTATGGCACTGATTACATGAAAAGGTTTAAAAATTTCAAAAGCAAAAAATTAAATAGTTTTTAACTGATGCTAACAGAAATATTAATTAAGTAACTATTTTGCTTCTTCTTTGATCATAGACATAAGAATTAGCATTTGTTTGGCAATTTGTTTGACACCATCAATGCACAAGATATGCTGTCTTTGGAGACAAAGGAGAATCATATGCATGGATTGGTATTAATCTGGATTCAAACCAAACGATATCTTTTTTTTTTTTTTTCGAGACAGGGTTCCTCTGTGGCTTTGGAGGCTGTCCTGGAACTCACTTGATAGTCCAGGCTGGTCTGGAACTCACAGAGATCCGCCTGCCTCTGCCTCCCGAGTGCTGGGATTAAAGGCGTGCGCCACCAACGCCCAGCTCCAAACAATTTCTTTTATACACCCTGACAGTTACTTATCATGCCAGTGGACGTCAATGACAAGGAAGTCCCTGTACTATTTCATCATATTTTCTGAATACTATATTCTTCTTATCCTAAACTCATTTAAGAGTTTGAAAAAATTCAATTGCATTTTTTATATAACCAAATTGAGTTAGAAAGTCAATTGACTTTCTTAAAATCAGCAGTAATGAATGTAACCATTGTAACACACCACGTTACTCCTGAGTTTGTCACATTTAATGGAGCGAATTCAGAGAAGTCCTGCAAATGCAGCAAGGGTCATTCGTTCAGATGTTAAGGCTTTACTGATGCCCATGAGAACTACAGAAAAGTTTCCTAAGCAAACAACACAGTGTATCTGTCTCAGTATTTCTATTCATGAAAAGTCACACTATTTCTCAAAAATCTATTAAAGACTTTAATCTCTACCAGCCTATGGGTACATGTTACTCATGATAATTTGCTATGTTCAGGTAAAAAAAATGTTTGCATTCTAATCTCTTGTGCAAATTTGATTGTTAGGCTTATTTAATCTTTTCTTGATAGTGTTCACTGAGGCAGTGCTGGCCGACCTCATAGCTGCGACTTTCCTGACTTCCATTCCAAGTGCTGGGAATCTAAATGTAAGCCACGGAACTCAGGAGAGCCATGGAGCTAAGAGGAGCCATGGTCAGGGGACCATGATGGTCAGGTTCATCTGTTTTGCTTTTCTTATCAAGAAAAACTGTATGTGTTTATTCTTTTCTTTTAGGCAAGGGGCTACCTTAAGAAAGAATGTAGTAACAGCAAAGAAAAAAGCATAGTTTGGAAACGCAGATGAGAAAACATGTTACGGTAACCCTTCCTGAAGGCAGTAGAGCTCAGGGAGTTCACTGTGTTTACCTGTCTCTGTCTGGAGAGTAATGGTCATCCATGACCCGGTGTCTGTCCATCCGGCTAATTGTATTGTAATGGCCAGGAGCACGCGTCCCTCGAAGCCCCTGTTCCACATTCCTGATAAGACAGCAAGACCATTAAATATCTGACTAATCTACAGTGTATGCCCCCTCAAAAATAATAAAATCTTTTTTTGTTGTTTATTTGTATCTTTGATTGAGTAAATTTCACTTGAAAATTAACAGTTACTTGAGGATCTGGCTGCTCTTAGAGATACAGAAAGAGCCTTCAGGAGAAGGACAAACGTTATTACACCTCCCTGATGGGCAACACCCTGTTAGCTATAACTGATAATCAGTGATATAATACACACCAGAGGAAGAGATTTATGAGAAGACGAGTGTTGCACATGGGTTTTAGCATGGGCCACAGGAACGGAGGGAGGGATCCCTTATGCACGTTGGACCTGAGTTCTCATCTCGGAAAAACAGCCATCAGTACCTATCCAGTTGTAAGCCTGTTCTCTGGTAGCACTCTCGCCTACACTACCGACTTCACGGCCTACTAGGTTGTAGCTAACTAACTATCGTCTGGCTAAATCCTCCCCTCGTCTGCCCTGAGTACGGTAGTCCTTCGAAACCACAGAACGGAAGCCAAAACTTCCTTCTATGCGACAGACTAGGCTTCTGCCTTTGCAAACCATCTCTTTCAGTAGACTGCAGTGTTGCGCTTGCAGGTGGAGGGATGTAAAAGTACACGGGCAAGTTTGATATACACATACCTATACTGTACATCCGGTCAGCGTCGATTAAATTAGCTTATATCTTTGTATATTACACGTTTTTCCTATTTAGTATCTCGTGAGTACTATTTCCTATTTGGTATCTATCTATCTATCTATATATATATAGATAGATAGATAGATAGATAGATAGATAGATATAATTATCCGTGGTTTATAATCCATGTATCTCTTTAGTACTCAGGTAGATCAGACATTTCTACTATAATAAGACCCAGAGCAACAGTTTGGTGTGACCATTTTTCCCACTACTATGCATGTTTAGTTTTTCCAAAGATTTTTTTAAAAATCTTTTTAAGCTTACCAATTACTATATAATCATTTGGTTCTAAATAGATCTGCTTAATATTTGCATGCAATTTAAAGCGAGTTTTACTTAGCTATGTTGAAATCTTAGGTCTGATAACACACAGATCATGCAAAGTACAACATGAACCCATATCATATCTTAGGCCACTGCGATGGCATTTTGTGTGTCTTTCAAAGAATATTTCAAAGAGTAATTCATTTTAGAGGTCATTATGGCAATTTGCATAAATGTCACTGTAACTACCATTGCTGTAAGCACAATGTACATGGTGTCCTACCTTTGTGGAGGAGGGACACTCGGTGACCATGACCTCGTCCTTCCTATCACATCTACCCGGTGAGGAGACCCTGACGGCGAACAATGGTTTGAGGACATTACTTGTTCTGGCACTGACAATGTGGAGCTTTGGAGGTCTCGACCGTTGTGTCGATAATCTGAGGGCAGGAAATAAAATAGTAATTATCTACACGGTGAGGAGGCATACTGTTCAAATACAGTATAACATGTTTGAAAAATTATAGCACAAAATGAAAACGGAAGGGTATCTGATACTTACGTAGTTACTACGCTCACTGTATGGGGGTAGGGTAAAATTTTAAGCTCTTTTTAAAAACAGAACCAAGATTGTACTAAAACTATTCCATCTCTAAAAACTGAAATGTTCCTTAACTATTGTTACTACTCAAAGTTGCCAAGGCACCACAGTTGGCTCTTACACTTGAAATGAGGTAAGCCACACGAAGCAACACTGAACGCCACAGTTCGTGAACTACTTGGCAGGGCGAAGACACCACGGCAGTGAAAACCAGACGAACGGTCAAAGTGGAGGGCGCCGCAGCGACTCGACAGCCCTACGGGGTTAACGGGGTTAACGGGGTTAACGTTAGGAAGCGTGGACCCTTGGACGGGGAGGGAGGAGTAAGGACCTGTGCACATCAGAAAAGCAGCAGCGCAGGGTGGGGAGGCCATGGAAAAGGAGAGACGCAAAAGCCATTTGCCTGAAGCTGTACACACATGTGAAACATGCATGTAGTGGAGAAGCATGAAGCTGTGCATATGTGAAACATGTTTGTAATGGAGAAGCATGAAGCTGTGCATATGTGAAACATGTGCATAATGGAGAAGCATGACGCTGTGCATATGTGAAACAAGTATGTAATGGAGAAGCATGAAGCTGTGCATATGTGAAGGATGTATGTAATGGAGAACCATGAAGCTGTGCATATGTGAAGGATGTATGTAATGGAGTAACATGAAGCAGTGCATATGTGAAGTAAGTATGTAATGGAGAAGCATGAAGCTGTACTTATGTGAAACATGTATGTAATGGAGAAGCATGACGCTGTGCATATGTGAAGGATGTATGTAATGGAGTAACATGAAGCTGTGCATATGTGAAGGATGTATGTAATGGAGAAGCATGAAGCTGTACTTATGTGAAACATGTATGTAATGGAGAAGCATGACACTGTGCATATGTGAAGTAAGTATGTAATGGAGTAACATGAAGCTGTGCATATGTGAAGTAAGTATGTAATGGAGAAGCATGAAGCTGTGCATATGTGAAGGATGTATGTAATGGAGAAGCATGAAGCTGTACTTACGTGAAACATGTATGTAATAGAGAAGCATGAAGCTGTACTTATGTGAAACATGTATGTAATGGAGAAACATGAAGCTGTGCATATGTGACACATGTGTGTAATGGAAAAGCATGACTAAGGCCGAGCAGGGAAGGTGATACTGCTGCCAGCATGGTCATCTCCTCATGTTCACTGTGACCTTTAATAATCGGTTTTTGCTCCACTAGGATATCTGGTGGGCACTTCCTAAAACACATCAGTGCAGTGTGCAGTTCCAGTTCCTGAGTTACTCAGAGGCTCTGGTGGCAGCTCAGAGCAGCACATGTGCTTTGCATGTGTAAGGCCCTAGGTTCATGCCCAGTACACAGACATAACTCAGGAACCATTTTCTTCCTGCATGGCTTCCTATCAGCAAGTTCGCGTTCCGTTCCGCAGTGTTAGGCGGTGCCGCGGGGCAGAGAAAATGGGTAAACCATAAATAACTGAAGAAGTGCCCAAGGGAGTAGAAGAGGGAATTCTGAAAGGGAAGAAGCTAAGGTTGAGGTAGGCTTAGTCCAACCCCTCTGAACACTCTGGCATCCGAGCTGCGGTTTTCAGCAGAGGGAATTCATTTTTTAAAGACCATCGCTGGCTTTGGGCAATGAATGGGAAAAAGGCGAGGTACTTTATGTAGCAGAGGCAGTTTCCATTTGTCCAAGCACAAACAGGATGGCTGTGAATGCTAAGCACTCATTCTGTTCCTGAGTGTCCTACTGACAATGACGCGTGTAAACTGGATTCATGATAAGCCCCTCTTCCCATAGCTGCCCCTTTGGTCAGGACATTTCACCACAGTAACAGGAACAGAAAGTAGGATAGTGAATATACGCAACTACGGACTGTATACTTCAGAAAACAAGAAAAATAATAGCTTCACCACACAGTGAAAAATGCTTGGAGAGACAGATGTTTGTCAATTTCAACATGAAAAAAATGTATATGGGCATTAAAACACCATATGTTACCTTATTGATATGCATCAGTTTTAATTTTAACATATCAGTCCAAAACTTAAAATACTACTTCAGGATTCAATTAAATGGGTACTACTTTTTTCTTGAAAAAAAGAATGGAGACATGCCTAAAAATGGCATTGGAATGAATGGATTTCATGTTCTGAAGGGAATTGGTAAGGTGAAAACACCGATGTCAATACACACTGAAGAGTAAGAAGTAAAATTAGTCAACTACAAAGGGAAGAGAATAGGAACATGAAAAAGATGGCAAAGATACCAAAAAAACCTGCGGGAGAAACAACTGAGGTTGGATCTCTACACTATATGAAAATGTAGAAAACATTTTCATTCTTAGCAAGTACTATATTGTTCATTCCTAATAAGAAATAAGGCAAAACACAGCAACTCAGTTTTTACGAGTAGTTTATTGACTATGGCATGATGACCCTACTATAAAAATAAAAAAACAAAAACAAAAACTTAGCAAAAAGTCAGCAATCACTGATGCAGTTAGAGTGGGTCTTATAAATAAAAAGTAAATTTTTCCTGAGTAAAGTTAACTATAATTACGAGATTTAGTAAATTATTTAATCTAACATTATAACTAAGAAGTCTAGAATAAAAAATTATATAACAATTAGGAGTCATTACTTATGAAGTTTCAATTATAAATCAGTTATACGATAAATTATACAATTTATCATAAAAGTATTATTATTAATTTTGGGGTGATGAGTTAGGGTTTCTCTGTGTAACAGTCCTGGCTGTCCTGGGACTCACTTTGTAGACCAGGCTGGCCTCAAACTCACAGAGATCCACCTGCCTCTGCCTCCTAAGTGCTGGGATTAAAGTCCTGTACCACCACCGCCCAGTTATTAAGTTTCTTAAATAGAAGATCTAAACATACTTTCTTAGCCAGGGCTGGCATCTTTAAAGAGTATTCATTCTAACAATTTGCACAGGATTCCCAGCAACTGTTTGGAAGTTTAGGTTGTCAAGTTTTCTTGAGGTTACTTTTGGTAGATGGGGAGGCAAATTTGTATTCTTCTCTTTATTTATCGTGATGATAAATAATGGCGAATCGCACTACCTTTTTAATACAACAAAAGAATGCTAAAGTTCTTACCTGATACCACACCAACTCCATCGTCACAATCATAGTCAGAGACCTCACTGTCACTTACTCTCTTTGATCCTATGAACAAAGGACAGGAATAATTAAACTTTACAGTTAGTTGTTCAAAGAAGCAGCAGAAAGAGGAATCTACTAAAGTTGAAAGATGATTGACAGTACTATCAACGAAACACAGGTAGATAAAGGAAAAGCCAGGAGAGTTGTTAAATTCTCACCAAGACTGCTTTTCACGGACATTTCATGAGGTTAGAATACAGACCACAAAGAGGTAGCAGTTTACACAATTATTCAGAAACGTGTAGTACAAAATTCCTAAACGGGCAAAAGTCTGAAACTATCTTAAGTATGAAATATATAATTAAGATCTATTGAAAAATGATAGTTAGCATTAGATGCTTTGAGACAAAGGTACTTTACCTGGGTAAATTCCCACACACAGACATGGGTCATTTTCCAAATCAGCATGTCACTTCCTAGTATGGATAACTTAGAACTTTGAAGCCAAGTTCTGCTACACACTCTCATAGAGAATTTGAGGAACATATGTTTATTCCTGGCATTTTAAACTTCCCTTTTTCTCATTTGCTTAGCTTTTTTTCCCAATGCTTCAAGAAGACAAGAAATAAATCATATATAAAGCTAAATGCCAGTCATGCTGTGATTTGTAAGAAGTGGACCAAGAACACACATAGGTTGTAGGATTTAATTACATTATAGTTTCCCAAAGAAGCTATTTTTCCTTGTCTTTGAGTTAAGGTCTCACTATGCAACCTTGGCTTGCCTGGAACCTGGAACTCACCATGTAGACCACGCAGACTTATTTATCTCACAGTGATCTGCCTGCCTCTGTTGACATCCGTCTCTGGAAATTTTAATGTTAATTTCAATATAGCAAAACTGACATCAAGTCAAATGAAACAGAATTTTAATGTCTAAAAATGAATGTACTTTACATTTAATTATGAAATAGACCATGCCCAAAAAGAATTACTAAATTTAACGTTGATTTTTCATGATGTGTGTCTCAGGATAGACACACTATGCAACAGAATCTTTTATTAAAGTCTTTTCTTTGTCTTGGTATCACAAGAGATTTAATGATGAATAGCAATGACAGTGCTGTGATTTCTCTGACTTGTTTTTGCCTTTCATCACACACTACACACCATTTATTGAGTGTTAGTGTCGGGAAATACCCATTTCCTATATAGCGCAAAAGGAATCTAGACAGCTCTCAATGAGAAAGGTTTCCAAAGCAGAGACACCAGGATGCTTCAACAAAGCCTTCCAGTGTGTGCACTCTTCCGGCAGAAATACCCTGAACTTCCCGTATTCATCTGCTCATGTTTTAGGCCACGCCCTCTTCCTTGGGAGAAAGTGTATGATTCCAGCTAGTGCACACTCCTCCTTTCCTCCTTTTACATCTCGATTCTGAATTAGATAATCTCGGCAAGCAATATCCTCCCTCAACTTAGGTCAGAAAACTTCAATGAAAAGCATAGACATTAAAAAAAGCATAGATGTTTGTTGGGAGATGGTGAGGTGTCCACACACCTTTAATCCCAGCACTCAGGAGGCAGAGGCAGGCGGATCAGTGAGTTCAAGGTCAGCCTGGTCTACAGGGTGAGTCCCAGGACGGCACGGAGCTTCACAAAGAAACCATGTCTAGCATAGGCATTTATATGAGAATTACCAGACAAATTTCCAACAAACTGAGCAGAATGGGGTGTATAAAGATAGAGCATGTATTTTAAATGGATTTGGCCAGATAAAGGATTACACAGATGGGACTATAATGGGGAAATTTAAGCAAACTGCCTGCAAATTTTAACAAAGTTTCTTTTGTACAGACCAAGTATGAGGTTACTAATTGCTGTCCCGGGTGCATGAGAAGTTTTTACTATTAGCCAAGGGTTAGAACAAGAACAACACCAGAAACAGTCAAGTTAATTTCATCAATCTTTGTGAGCTGCACTGTGCTCTGTGTGTGTGTGTGTGTGTGTGTGTGTGTGTGTGTGTGTGTGTGTGTGTGTGTGTGTGTGTGTGGCGCGCGCGCATGCCTGGAGCAAAGATGCATAAACTAAGTAAGAGATTCCAAGTCAGGTCCTCAGGTTAAGCAGAATAAACACTAGTTCCTTCTAACTCTTACAGAATTCAGATTTGAGATTTTATGTTCCCATATTAACCTTAAAGAAGTTAAAATGTGCTGCTTTTAGGTTCACTATACTTTGATTTTCTCTTATTAACATTCCAATGAACTCAATGCTCAGATCTGACTGGTATATTAATTGTTTGTATTAAAATCAATATTTTCAGTGTCTTATTAATAAGAAATATTTTCTAACTATAGATGATGAATTTTCCTGAGTCTTCCTCTAAAAAACTTTGAAATTGTAGACTTACATTTATATCCATACCTATCTTGAACTTCAGTTGCATATAAGATGGATAGCACATTTCTCAAAATTAATCTTTTGCTATTTATTATTTCCCAGTTATCTGTGATAGAGCCTGCATCATAAATGAAGGCATCCTATATAAAGGGACATATCTCTTAGTGTACATTTTCTCATGCACAGATGCCCATCCACAAATCAGTAACTGATTCTCTCTCTAAATACCATGTCATATACTTTGATAAACAAATCTCTCCACAGCATTAGTAATACCCTGTACCGTGTACACTTGCTTTTGCATGTAAATTTGAGAACCACTTTAACATATCTCACAAAGGCGTTCTGTTGGAATTTCAATTGCACTGAACGAATGCACAAACTCAAGAGGCGTTGATATGTCTTCCAATATTGCATTGGTAGTTATGAACATGACATTTGAGTTTCATCTTGTTACTCTCCAGTCATTTCCTCATGGTCTCTTACCCTAACCTGGATCTCACCATTGGCTAGACTGGCAGCCCGATGGTGTGGGTTACAGATGATGCCTCTGTGTTGGTCCTTTATGTGAATGTCAGGAACTGAAATCAGCTCCCCTGAAAGCTTCCTCCGCAAGGAATAGCTTCCATAGTGGCATGAAAACTTCAAAAGGAGGGAAGGAACCAAGAGTTCTGCCCAGCTATGACACTTAAAACTACGACAATGACCAGCATGGCATAATAACCCTAAGAGACGGGAAGGGCACACACACCTTTATGGAAAACAACAGCTCCGTAACTTAAGACCCTCTCCAAAAGAAGGAAATCAGGTCCAGAACCGGAAACCTGGCCAACAACTTAGGGTGAGTAAAGTCATGGATCTTCGAGAACCTACAGAAGCCACCTAAACCAGCAGAATCCTTAACTACATTGGAAATATCTGTTCTTAAACCCACAGATATGTGCAGTCTTCTCCTTTCAGGAAGGAAACTTCTCTTTGCAACCTACAAAGTGCATTAGAGGAGACCACAGCAAACAGAACGCAGAGCTGCGGAACCCGGCCCGAAGGGTACTTCCTGAAACTAAGGCTCAGGGATCACTGCAGAAGGGGAGGAGGAAACATCGTAAGAGCCAGAGGGGCAGGGAGTACGCTGTGAGGCTGTGTCTTCTAGAAATGTTGGAAGCTACCCCCTTGAAGTCTCACTAGCAAGACTGCTTACACATGGCCTGAACAAGGATGGCACATGCTAACATGTAAGGGGGAAAGCTCATGAGGCCTCAGCCCTAGACTGCGTAGCTCTTTGTGGACTAGAGGTGACTAAAGAACGCTGAGTGAGGGCGAGAGGGATTGTCTTTCCCTGGGAGGAGCAAACCAGTCAGTTACCTGATACCAAGATGTCAGCCCTGAGGTCATATGCATACAGGTGTCGAGTGACATCACAGAGACCCAGCAAGTTGTTTTCATGTATTTAGGAGCACACACGTGCACGCATGCACACACACACACACATGCACGCACGCACATACACACACACCAATAACAGAAAAGGGGCCATGAATTTGAAAGAGCGTAAAGCAGAGGAGGCAGTAAGGAAGGGTTGGGAGGGAGGAAAGGGAAGGGAGAAAGGATGTTGTTATAATTTCAAAAAATTGTTAAAAACTACAATTAAGTCTAAACCAACTAATAGTGTCATAATCCATAACAATTACTGGCTCTATGAGTGTTTCCAAAGCTCCAGGAACCCAGGTCAAACACGCAGGGATGCCTGCTGACCATGTTTTCTAGTGTCCTCTCTGCTGCCTGCCCATTTTTCCAGTCCTGCTTCAGAAGAAAACACTCCCGGTATGTGTTATGATCGGAGGAGACACACCTCTGCCACCAAGAGCGTAGTGTTCACGCTAGCTCCTCTGAACTGTACTGCCAAGAGTTCAGTAAGCCCCGGGATGCCTTGCCCATCCCCGTGGTAAGCGGTGGAGACCTAGGACTACGGCCCCGAGCGAGCAATGGGACTGACCCCGCGGCAATAGGAAGAAAAAGAAAACGGAACCGGGAGACCAGCACGTTCCTGGGAGAGCAGCACGTTCCCGTGACAGAGAAACTGAAAGAGACGAGGCGAACAACTTTGAGTCGCTAGCCTACTACCCCTTCCGAGAAAGACTCCAAACCTTACTATACATCTCCATCAATCAGTGCCAGTCTGACACAAGTCACGGTCAACTGGGAGAGGGCACTCATCAGATTGTCCCGTGGGCAACCCTGCGGTGCATTTTCTTCATTAGTGATTGTGGGTGGTGCCGCTGGTCCAGAGTGCTATGGGAAAGCAGGCTGAGCAAGCCATTTGGAGCAAGCGGTACTTCCCCGTGGCCTCTGCGTGAGTTCCTGCCGAGCAAGCGGTACTTCCCCGTGGCCTCTGCGTGAGTCCCTGCCTCAATGGTTCCTTCCCTCCTTGAGTGCCTGCCCTGACATCCCTTAGTAATGGACTGTTACGTAAAGTATAAATAAAAGAGATGCTTTCCTCCTCTGCATTGCAACAACAGCCAGCACCCACGCACTGAGGCCTCTCCAGCACCTGTAATCCCAGCTCCACCCCTGCCTGCTTGGATGCGAGGCAAGCACATGGCACACAAACACACATACAGGCCGAACACTCGACACATGTAAAAGTTAGCAACCTTTCAAAAACAATAAATTGACAGTTCCAAACGGTATGTGGTTGGTTAGGCTCCATTTCATAGAGTTGAGAAATGTCCGTTTGTTACCAGTCTACGAAGAGTGAGGATGAGCTTTGAATTAATATACCTTCTGCATTGTGTTGAACATTATTTGTATAATTTAATAATATATATATAATATAAATACACATAAAAATGCTAATGTGTGCACGTGAGGAATCTAAGTTCATCCTGAGGTGTAAGTGCTCTAGTTAGTGACTGCGTGTTTACTTATAATTTGAGATCCTTCATTCTTTTGTGTTTCCCCTAATTTCTTTAACTTGCCCATTTTTTTTTATTTATCACTTTAAAAATTACTATCCTAGAGCCTCTCTCAGTAGGGATAATCTGTTAATTTTTCTTTCCAGCATAATTTTATGTATATTGAAGGTATCTTAATAAATGGAAGCTGAAATTTTTTTTCCTGTTTTTCAAGACAGGTTTTCTCTATGTAGCCCTGGCTGTCGTGAAACCAGCCTTGTAGCCCAGACTGGCCTCGAACTCATGATCCTCCTGCCTCCACCTCCTTCAGCAAATAATACCCAAGTGCGGAACCATCCGCAAAATGATTTCAATTTAAGTATAAATTGTTACTTTGTGGGATATTTGCATTTTTATGAGAAAGAGGGCCTGAACTTTTGTTCTTACCTTCAGGCTTAGATTCAAGGGCATATATCTCATATATATTTCACCATTTATAAGAATAACCAAAGATAAAACACTTAAGAATGCACACATGTTGATTCCAGACTACTAAATACTTCTGCATTAGCTTCCCAGAGCCTGCTACAAGAAACACACACACACACACACACACACACACACACACACACACACACACACACACACCCATGCACAGCAGTCTAGAACGACTGAATCTCGCTGCCTCAGTCCAGTCCTGGAGGCTGGAAGCCCTCATTGGCAGGCTCTGTAGGGTCCAGGTGCTTGTCTCTGGTTCCTGGTGGTTCCAGTCGCCTGGCAACCTTCTCCATGTTCTTATTCTTAACAGACTTTAAGTTTTCGCTATTAAGTATTTTATACTTTTGCCAAATTCATACATAAGTATACCCTATTTTGACATAATTTTAAATGGTACAGATTTTTACACTGTTCATTGCTGATAAATGTGTATGTGTGTATGTGCATAGAATATATACGTATATATGTGTATATATACAGAATTTTGTTAGTTCAAACATATTAAAATAAGTTTAATGACCAGTTAAACAGTTGGCATGATACACTATAGTAATACACTAAGGCCGATCTATTTTTTTTTTTTTTTGCACTACGTGATAAATTTGCTAACAAGATGAGATCTATAGCAAATGTAGCTTTGGACTGTTTGGTTGTGGAAATCGGTCTGCACACTGCTTAGGCTAGTCTCATTATCTCTACACAGCCAAGGACGATCTTGGAGTCCTACTATGCGATTTTTGTGTCCTGAGTGCCAGGGTTATAGAGCAGGCTACCACAGATGCTGAGCACAGGCACCTTATGTGCATTTTAATTAAAAACATCAGCCACTCAGAAGCGAAAAAAGAAACACATTTAAAATCATATCCATTTTGGACGGGCACAAGGGCTCAATGGATAGAGACGTCACTGTCTGACAAGCTGTCTGATGACGGAACGAGAGGGGTGGGTGGGCTCTGACTCTCACAAGCTGTCCTGTGACCTTCCTACACACCAACATGACACACACACTCCTACACGCACAGAGTAAAAGTGAATTAGAGATTTAAAATATATCCACTTAAATGTAAGTTTTGTGAAGCCACATATAGCATAATACACTAAATGTATTTACTAATGAGATAATGCTATAGTAAAGGAGATAATTTCGACACACTGAAGTAAAAATCTGTTTTAAAAATGGTTTAGCATCAAAATAACAAATGCATAAGCATGAAGATACTGGAAATTTTCCAAAGGCAGTAAGGAAATGCTGTGGACACATGAGTTAGGATTTAATATATGCACACTAGCCAAACAAAACACAAAGCAACACAGCAAACTGCACTGTGCATATGAATGCATGCATTCAACACTACACATGCCACATTTTACCTGAGTTATATGCACATAAGGCTTTATCTGGAAAACAATGTGGAGGCAATGTCAAAAATGCACCTGATATTGTTACTGGAGAATTGTAGAAATCTCATCTCCAGTTTATACTACAGACAATAAAATTTGATGTATTAAAAGTTTAAAGCACCACACTAATTCAGAATAAGATAAAAACGCATTACATATGAATAAACATTAAAATTAAGTTAATAGAAAATCTGACTAAACTAAGATGAGAACAAAAGCTAAAGAAGATAGGCAAAATCAAAAACGAATCACATCCTGCCCCGACGCTTGTTGGGAACACGGTTGTATTACATAATCTGAAATGCCAGTGATAACCGGCAGACATGTGGCATCTCACAACTACGGAACTGAGACAGAAGGGACCATTGGAAAGCACTGCTCATTTATGAATTCTGGATTTTAAAAATGGCCAGTTTAATGTGGATTTCCTAAGAAAAGGCGAATATTCAAAAACCTTAATGATTACAGTTATCTAAACATTTTAATATCATTTAAAGAAATCTATGGAAACCATCAAAAAGCAAAGGGATAAATTTGGGGGTTTTTTCCTCTCTGTAATACAACTGACATTACTAGTGGAAAGACGTAACTTCCTGCAGCACCAGTTACTAAGGAGGCCTATTTTCTAACATTGAATTGAAGTTTAAAAAGTGTAATGATTCTTAGGTTAGGAAATGAGAAACAGTCCATTTGCTAAATTTTCACAGGATTTATCTGGTCTGTCAGAAGCCCATACAGCAGAGCAATGACATAAACCACTTTAAAGGAACTAAACAGAGCTTTGTTTCTGGCAACAGTATTTGGGAACAGACTAAGAAGTAAGCATAAGAAACCATTTCTTTTTGTTGTTGCTGTTTTTCAAGTTAGGGTTTCTCTGTATAACAGCCCTGGCTGTCCTGGAACACACTGAGGCCCAGGCTGGCCTCAGACTCACAGAGATCCGCCTGCCTCTGCCTCCTGGATGCTGGGATTAAAGGCGTGTGCCACTACCGCCCAGCTCTTCAGTACTTTTTCTCTGAATTAGGGGCATATGTTTGGACATTGACTTCCAAACTCTAGGTTTATTACCATGATAACTGACACTGTAAGGGCCTAGGTTACCCAGGGGAGGAGCTTGGGGAAGCTAGGGGAATACAGACTACAGGCCCCACTGAGGGTTAAAATGCCTTACCATCAGTAAAAACAATGGTTCAAAATGGCTTGTGTCCAGACTCAGTGTCTGGGAAGTTCTAGAGTCCGTCAGTGTTGTAGCATCACAGTCAGTAACTCCAACAAGCAGCTAGCACCTACAGAATAAGCCGCAGGGCTAGCAGCATGAGGAGACTGACTATGCCAGCGCCTGGCTTAGGGAAGGAACCACCGTCCGGGGACACGGCAGTGACGATCAATGCACTAGAGGGCAATTTCTGAATGTCACGCTTTCTTAGGCTCACTGAAACCTCTATTAAGAGGATTTTTTAAAGGTATCTCAACATCACATCAGATATAATTTTTAAACAGTGGACATAACATCAAGTTGGTGACGACCCAAGTTGTGTGTCTTGGGTCAGTCACAGCCCTATAGGCTCAACAGGTACTTCATGCTGATGCAATTGAAATAAGAAACATTTCAAAACAAAATGGCAAAATAAGACAAAGTAAAAATGAGAAACACATGAAATACATTAACTCAAATATATAAGAATTTAAGTATAAAGACATAAATTGCCAGAGTTTTGTCAGAAAGGACTTAAGACAACCATGGAGGAATTGAACAGTTGCAAGCCTATTCATAACTGAACAATTGAAGCCGGTGGAGATTCCAACTCTGTAAGCAAGGCTGGCAGCCTGTGTGCTTACGGTGTATGAACTAGTGCACAGGCAACTGTACCAGAGTGGCCGGAAAGAATAGACAACTTCATTAATAATACTGTACTCCTGCCAACAGAGTGAGGTTGTCACAGCACTTACAAACAGGGATGCATGAGTGTTTATGATCGCGTGAGGTTTAAAAAAGACAACACAGGTTATTCTTAATTGATTTTATCTGAGAGTTTGATATTATGCTTAGTGGAAGGAAAATGCTAACCATTAGTGAGGATCAATTTTTTAAAAAAATTAAGTCCTTTAAAAAAGGACTTAACATGATTCCCTCGGTTTCCTGTGACTCTCATAGGACCAAGCTTTTGAATGTACACACACCCAGCAGCTTTTGGGTGTCAGTTCTGCAGAAAGGAGGTGGTCCATTGCTATGCCAGGCATTCCCACAATCAACAAGTCACATCGTGCACTTTGCTTATGGTTGGACACTTGTGCAATCTCACTCATGCCGGGGACCCAACAGCGGGCACAGATGTTAGCAAACGGGAACCTGGTGGCCACGGGCAAAGGACAGTCCGACCTCCCGAAGAACAGTCAGAGCAGCAAGAAGCCGCTGTTTCCCTCCATCACTCAGGTCAGAAAAAGCAAAACCAACCTCAAAATCTGAAAGTGCTGGAGCAAAATCCAGCAGTAGCATTTTTAAATCTGGAAAACACTATTACACTGTGTGATGCCGGAATACAATTGCCAGTGATTAGAACAAAAACACGCAGGTTTGAAATTACTCAATCCTGTGTGTGCAAGCATGTCTGCGTGAGTGCGTGCGTGTGTGTGTGTGTGTGTGTGCGCGTGTTATATGTTTGTATGCTCATGGATAGTGGGTATACAGGCAATGTGGGCTTGCGTGTGGAGGCCAGAAATCTCTCTTTTTTGAGACATGAACTCTCACTGAATCTGGTGCTCACCAGTAGGGCCTGGATGATGGTCAGTGAACCTCGGGAGTCTACCTGTCTCAGCCATCACAGAGCTGTAACCTGCAACTACAAGTGTGTGTCAGCTGCTCACGTGGTTGCTGGGATTAAAAATCAGGTCCTACGTTGGCACAGCCCTTCACTGACGGAGTGAGCTCCCAGCCACGACAAGTAAAGAACCGTCAGAACTGTGCCATGAGGTCAGTAATGCAATTTCCACATGATAAACAAGGAAATCTGAGCATAGAGAACACCTGCCTCAAGTCATTCACTTCTAAAGTGGAAAAAACAACAACTGAAAATGTGAAACATAATTTCAACCACTATGTTATTGTTGTCATTTTAGATATTCATGAAATATTCGAGACATTTTTACGTGTCTGTAGCTCCATGACCAGGTTCTATTGTATTAGCTGTCTCGTTCCTACATTTGGCAGTCTAAATACTAATACTCGCCCCAAAAGCTGTGTTTATTTGTTGTTACATCATATAATACGCAACCAGCATGATTTTAATATTGTGAGTATGAATGCCGTAGGTGTAAAGATGTTTCTGCTTTAAATGAATAGGAAGCATCAGTAGCAGCCGTGGAAAGACAAACACACGCTTACAAGCACCTGTAATGCTGTTTTCAAGTTCTGTCAGATGCACAAGCAGGATCAGAGACAGCCAATGACAGCGTGAAAAGGTCTGCGAAACTTACTCTGTAACCTGCGTGTGGGGCTCTCTCCGTGGAGCTGCCTTCGAGGCAAATACGGGGACGGGTGAGGGAGCGGCAATGAAGAGGCATCGTGGGTCTGAAGTTTGTACCAGTGCAGCTCATCATCCAACAGAGCCGTTTCCAGTTCTATCAGAATCTGCAACCCGGACACACAGAAACCTGTTTCACCAGTGATTAAGAAATCTCCTCAATAGTCTTGTAACTTTTATAGTATCACAGGAATGCTGCTACAACAAAGCAAGGACATTTAATGTTGCCAAAATAGTAGGCATGTTTTGACAGTAACTAAGTGAGAAATATTTTTTCCTTTTTTAGTGATTTATATGCTTTGAATGGCGACATTCATTATATATACCATGACCATACAATTATGAGGATATTAAATTTGACATGACATAAATAGCAAATTTTACTTTTAAAATGTTTATGATAACTAATCTTTATCTTTTATTTTCTAACTCAAAAGCATTTTCATTTATAGTTACTAGTATAGTAACTTCATAATAACCAATAAATTAATTTTAAATGAGAAAAATTAATTTAAAGTATTTATTAACAACCAATCATGCCACATTATTCGTCCTTATTATGAATAAAAAAAATGGCTATCTTTGCCTTCTAGGACAGGGTGCCAAAGCTTAAAGAAAGGCTAAGATGACTTGCATCTAGAGTAAGATAGCTTGTTGAGAAAAGAGATAAAAGGAGTCAAGCCGTCTTCCTTAGGCCTTTCTGTTCACTGTAGCACACTGATGACAATTCAAAAGCAAAGCAGCTCACCACGGGCCCTTTGTGATGATCAACTCTTATACGCCATTAGAAACAAACGGGAAGGCAAGAGAGGGCATTTAACATGCGCCCTGTGATCACGTAACGGCACAATGTGAATTTTTTGAATCGTAAGAGAAATCAGTCTGTAGAAACGAATTAGTTTTCCTTCAGACTGCTGTGCAAGGGTGGCAGAGTTGACAAACATGAAGTAGGCCTGCCATGTGAACTGTGAGTCACCGTGTGAACTCGCGTGTCACCGTGTGAACTGTGAGTCACCGTGTGAACTCGCGTGTCACCGTGTGAACTGTGAGTCACCGTGTGAACTGTGAGTCACCGTGTGATCTGTGAGTCACCGTGTGATCTGTGAGTCACCGTGTGAACTGTGAGTCACCGTGTGAACTGTGAGTCACCGTGTGAACTGTGAGTCACCGTGTGATCTGTGAGTCACCGTGTGAACTGTGAGTCACCGTGTGATCTGTGAGTCACCGTGTGAACTGTGAGTCACCGTGTGATCTGTGAGTCACCGTGTGATCTGTGAGTCACCGTGTGATCTGTGAGTCACCGTGTGATCTGTGAGTCACCATGTGATCTGTGAGTCACCGTGTGAACTGGGAGTCACCGTGTGAACTCGTGTGTCACCGTGTGAACTGGGAGTCACCGTGTGAACTGGGAGTCACCGTGTGAACTGTGAGTCACCGTGTGATCTGTGAGTCACCGTGTGAACTGTGAGTCACCGTGTGATCTGTGAGTCACCGTGTGATCTGTGAGTCACCGTGTGATCTGTGAGTCACCATGTGATCTGTGAGTCACCGTGTGAACTGGGAGTCACCGTGTGAACTCGTGTGTCACCGTGTGAACTGGGAGTCACCGTGTGAACTGGGAGTCACCGTGTGAACTGTGAGTCACCGTGTGAACTGTGAGTCACCGTGTGATCTGTGAGTCACCGTGTGATCTGTGAGTCACCGTGTGAACTGGGAGTCACCGTGTGAACTCGTGTGTCACCGTGTGAACTGGGAGTCACCGTGTGAACTGTGAGTCACCGTGTGAACTGTGAGTCACCGTGTGATCTGTGAGTCACCGTGTGAACTGTGAGTCACCGTGTTATTCAGGTAAATGAGCCTGAGCTGCTGCTTCCCTGACTACATGGTCCCTGTGCATGTTCACTCTGAGAGGCGCGGCACTACAAGCTAGCACGCGCTGTACATACTGGATCCTCCTACTAAACCCGAGCTGCACACTAGCGTTATTTACACTTGGCTAGGAAGTCGCGGTGCCAGAAGTGACCAAGGGCCAAAGGTCAGAGTTCTTGCTCTCAAGAACTGCATGGCCCCTCTCTCCACATGACTCACAGGTCTATAACTCTGTGTGTGTGTGTGTGTGTGTGTGTGTGTTGTTTGTTTGTTTGTTTGTTTGTTTGTTTGTTTTTGAGATGAGGTTTCTCTGTGTAGTCCTGACTGTCCTGGAACTCGCTCTGTAGACCAGGCTGACTCGACAGAACTGCATGTCCCTGCCTCCCCGGTGCTGGGACAACAGGGCACGCTCTATACCACCCAGAAGATGAGAACCATCTTCATTCGGTGTAAGAGAAGTTTCTTTATACCCCTCTCCCTGAAAAGTCAGGTTGAGTGTTGGGATTAAGGGTGTGTACCACCACTGCCTGCCAAGGTTTGTAACTCTTTAGGAGACATAATTCAGTTTCTTTTTATTTTACCCATGAAATTATCCTTTTATTTAATCAGGAAAACTAGGTAGAATAAAAAGCTGAAGGGAATAACTGCTTAGGCTCAGTATTACATGCCAGTCCTTAGAAAACCACTTCATCTCTCAAGCCTCTGCAACTTGTTCTCGAAATTTCCCTTGGAAGCAGTTTAATCAACACACAATGTAAACAGTCTTTGCTTAAACTTTCCACGAGTTCCCATTAGTCACAGGATTAATCCAAATAAGGAACGTGTTCTGAGCGTCCTTTTAACCTTGGGGCATCATTTCTTACACTCTGCTAATTGGAGGCAGGGACCTAAACTCCTCGACCCTGATGCCTTCTTACTCTCTCTGCAGAAATCTCACCCCCTTGACTATGTCAACTTCTATTCTCACAGGTACATATTTCCTTTGTACCTGTTTCAGTACAGCCCAGCAATTATATATTCCTACTACACATTCCTCATCATAGCAGTATCTGAATCCTCACTGAGCTATAAATTCTTGAGGAAAGACCATAGAAAAATGCCTAGTACATTATATGGCTTACAAAGTAATCCATGAATAAATGAATAATTGACCCAATAAAATAACAAGAAGTAGAAAAGACTATACAAGACAAGAATATCCCTATCAAGTAGAAATCAAGCCTTTACCATCACTCACTAGATCCCCCCCATGATTATGGGGTTTGTTTTGGTATTAGTTTTGATTTGGAGACAGAGCCTCACTATGATGGGCACACTATATTTGAATTCTCAAATAAAACTATCAGTTTCCCTAGGAACTGGGGTTAGAGTTATACATTACAGTTCTGCTAAGAGGTTTTAGAAACACTATTTTCTTTAGTATCACGAATGTTTATCTTAAAGCTAGTAAATTAACAAGCTATGCATATTCTTTCAGATATTTAATATCCTGAGTATTTTAGTGACAGTCATAACAACAGAATAGGCTGAGAAGCCTCAAATTAAACTACTTCCAGTTACCTCTCCTAAAAATTCACTCTCTTCTTCTCGAACTCTAGCTTGGTCCCAAAGGGTAATTTCAAGCATTCGTTCCCGGAATTCCCTTCGGTGGACAGGAGAATAAATGAAGGTCTGGTTCCATTTGGGTTCCAATGTTTTCTTTACCGTTTTTGTTCTTCTCTTGTTTTTATCACTATATTAATAAGAAGAAAATATACAAACTTACATAAAAAGATTGTACTCTACATTTTATCCATTTAAAACTTCTCAAGTGAAATGTTATCACATTATTTGTCATGTAACAGTTAAAGTAAACTTTTAGTTACTGTTAGATTATGATACAGTTGCATCATCTCTGTAGCTCAGTAAGAGCAACAGCTCAAATAAACCTATTCACTTAAGCTACACAAGTCTAATTGTAAAAAAGATATATATATTGCAGTGTTTACTTCATAGACAAATAGCCTACATAACAAGCAATTTAATACATATTTTATGAAATAACTTTGTCTCTAGTAAGGAATAGTATTTGCTTATTTGCCAGAAACCAAACCAAAACAAAAACAAAATCATGCCTTTAAAGACACAGAATACTGTTTCTGTGTAACATAGCCAGAGTGATGTGACAGAAATCGGATCTGATTATCTTGACGGACAGGACCTATTGTTAGGAGACTTTCATACTTAGGTTGAAAATATTAGTTAGAAAATATTTTAAACTATGTATCTTATATGCATATATCATAAATGACATTTACAAACATGTATTATATCATTAGTTACATTCAAATATACTAAAATATTAAAGATGAGAAGCGGGCAGTGAACTCTAGTTAGAACTGAAATCTGAAGGAGGCTAGAAGAATGGGCCGTAAGTTAATAGAAGAGATGGGAGACCAAGCTTTCACGCTAAGGAACCTGTCTAATGGGGAGAAGCAGGAGAGTTTCCTGATGTCCCTCCACACACAGCAACCACAACAAACTTCTTCAAGCTCCACCACCACCTCCTAAAAGAACCATGATACAAACCTTATTTTCAACAAGTGAAAACAAATGGGCTTTGCTTTTCTTAAAAGTGGAATTGAAACCATCAAAACACCATCATGGAAGTTAAGTCAAATAGTACAAAGGGATTAGCTGTCCTTAAAGACTAAACTATGGAGGTGTATTTTAAATAGGTTGCTAAAAATAAATCCTTAGTCTCTAATAAATTATTAAGCATACAGTAAACATTTGCTCAATAAAATCTAGCCAAAACTTTATTTTCATGCTAGTACTTTTGACTTAGGTTTAACTTAAAGCAACAATCAAAATCTTGACCTTTGTATTCAAGGCCACAGCCAACTGTACTTCAAAATATTACTTTTATATAACTAAATATCAATTGTTAGCTCATATGTTCAAGAATTTCTCCCTGGCTGGAAAATTATCAGGAAAATTAAATCAATAGCTAATGTTTAGTATCTTATTCATGTGGGGAAACCGGATCGAAAGAAAAGAGAAAAAAATAATGTACCTTTCTGAGTATTGCAAAAAAATTATTTTTCTTATTAGAGGTGAAATGCTGAAACAACCATTCAACAACGCATGCGTGAAAAGTATGCAACTGTTCTCAAATACTTGCTATCTGAGAAATAGCTGAGAAATGACCTGAGCAAAAAGTTCAGATAGGTCTCAAATTCTTTGAGGTGACAAACAAACAAATGAAACAAAGGGTTAACCCTGTGTGGTGGTTTGCAAGAAAATTGCTCCCAAAGAGAGTGGCACCATTAGGAGGTGTGGCCTTGCTGGAGGAAGTGTGTCACTGTGGGGGCGGGCTTTGAAGTCTCTTTGATTCAACTTCCTTCATTGTGACTGTCAGTCAACTTCCTTTTGACTCTGAGTCATCAGTCAACTTCCTTTTGACTCTGAGTCAAAATGTAGCACTCTCGCTATTTCTCCAGCATCAGCATCTGCCTGCGAGCTGCCGGGCCGCCACCATGATGATAGTGGACAGAACCTCTGAAACTGTGAGTGAGCCGCCCCGGTTAAATGCAGTAGTTATAACGGTTGCCATGGTCACGGTGTCTCTTCACAGCTATGGAAGCCTAAGTAAGACACACTGGACCAGGGATATAAAGGACAAAGTAAGGAAAGATGTAGATATTTAATCCCACTGCCTCAAAAAAAAAAAAACAACAACAAACAAACAAAAACAAAGAAAGAAAAAGAAAAGGAAAAGAAAAAGAAAAATTGGGCAAAGTAATATAAAGCTAAATAACAAAAGTTAATCACGAAAAAAATCAGTAAACTTTCAACATCTCAAAAATTAAATGTGGGCAGGTGGGGCGGCTTAGTGGGTTGTGGCACATGTGGCCCTCCACGCCCGACGACAACCAAGATCAATCCAAGGACCTACATTGTTGAGGGAAGGAACCGACTCTCACAAATTGTCCTCTGAGTTCCATGTGAGTGCTATGACATACGCACAAACCGCACACACACACACACATTCACATAGAAACACACACACATCACACTCACACAATACACACAAACATCATACTACACACACAGATACAGACATACACGCACTCACACATATACACACACAGACACTCACCCCAGACACATACACACACAGATACACACATGTACTTACTCAGTCACACATACATATACACACACACACACGCTCACACACCAATGAATAAATAATGTTGTGACTCAAAAATAAAATGCAATAAGTGTTTTCTTTAAAAGTATGAACTGTTGAAACCTAAGAAGCTGGAGAGCAGGGCAGAGTTCAGGGTTGGCGTTTGCTGTGGACCTGCACCGTTTCATCCGGGGACTCTGTAGCAATAAACCATTGTGCACTAAAGAGTCATAAATTTAACTGCCAGGCTCAGAGGATGATTTGGTTATGATATGCAATATTCAGCTGACATTCAAGTCCTATCTGGCCACTCTAAATTTTTTTCTTTCTTACATTTCAATATGTGTCTCTGGACAAAAAAAAAATCTAAATTATTTCTCCCTCCCTCCCTCCCTCCCTCCCTCCCTCCCTTCCCAGTGTGCCAATTCTATTCACATTAGCCAACTGAATAAGACTGTGAGGTCCAGCCCCAGTCAATGGGAAAGGCACCATCACCACGAGAACGAGATTAAAAATCATGTTCACTGCCCGTCTCAGTGTGTTCCCTCTTCAGAGTCCTCTGGACCAAGAGTTAAACTTGCCTTTTCCCAATACTAAAATTGGGGTGGCGGTCTCTTTGTGGCCCTGAACTTACTTCTAACAAGTATACAAGTCAACTTTGATGGACTTTCTGCTTAAAATAATTAAGGACATTAAGGCCCAAAGATGTGCAAACAGATGGGAGGTGTGTTCAGAGCCACTGTCAGCCACAGAAAAAGGGCTCAGACGTCAAAGCGCAACGTCGTGGGAGCCAACGAGAAAGTGGGGGATGCCACTCCTCCCCCCCTTTCCGTGACTCTGGCTGCGGCCCCCTTTGATATGCCTGCAATTAAGAGTGGTTAGATTACTTTCGAGAAAATAGTTCTCCAATCCTAAATCCCGTGAAAGTCTGGGTAGAACAAAATTGATGACAAAAATCATAATACAGTGCTTAAAGGAGGTGATTATGGGCCCAGAGGTAGTTGGATAGTAGAGGTGATAAACACAAATCATATATGTTAATTTTATGAAATGTAATAAAACAACAACAATATGGTCAAGAGGTCTAGACGTAAAAAGTGGAGAATACGAAAACAATTTAGTTCCAGTTCCAGCTCTGTTTACTATACAATCTATTAAAATTTTTATTTAAAAAAATAAATTTTAATAATTTTGGCATAGACACATATTACTTAAGACATACAATATGCAGATGGCTTAAGGTAAATATTTCAATAAAACCATATGTAGTAAATGCAAACTTCTAAAATAATCTCAAGTACTTACTATCAATCAGAATGATTGTATTTATAAGATTTCACAACTCTCTGACTGTTATGACACAAAATAACGATTGATACAGAACTGAAACATTCTTTGTTTGCCACTTATTTTTAAGGGCATATATGTTTTAGTTTCAAATTCCTACCTTCTGTCTGGAAGAAAGTAAATTTTAACATATGGATTCCTTGGCCTTCCATCTTCCCGGGAAGGGAGATCCTTTGCTCCCAAAATTGTAACTATCAATTGGTGACCAACCTTGTCAAACCATAGTTTGATCTGAAAGGCAAAAGCATTCATTCTCAGCTCAAAACTCGCTTCCAATACATGTTTACATTTCCAATCTTTATAGCATTCTCCAGTACTAATATTAAGAAAGGTAACATTTCCCCCAGTAAACTGTGATTTGTTAAAAGGATATACTATAATAACTTCAATGAATAGATAATTGATTCTGGTGTTTTAGTTTCATTGATAAATCACTTGGCTTTTTCCTATGCGGATGCGATGACTTATTAATGAAATATACTAATTATACTGTTGAATTACATACTTTGTGTACAATGACTCCACTAACTCTGTTTTTGTGTAAGAATCACTGTGGTTCTTTTTGTTGACCTATTAAGTTGTAAATCAGTGTATGCGGTGTATGGGCAGAAACACCTAACAAGTATTCAGGGGGAATTTTCAAGCAAACGTGTTGGGTCTCCATAGTAAAACAGATTTCAAAGGACAGAAGAAAGCTTACTAGTAACTTTAATAGATTCCTTTATTTTGTGTTTAAAATGATAATAAATTCTCCTTTAAAAAATTTTAGAGGCATAGTTCCTTCTTCGGTGAAGAAAATACATAACATCCTTAAAATCGTCAAGTTTTACTTTCAAATGTTAAATAATTTTGCTGTGTCATAATTAGGGATTGGCACTTCATGTCATCCTGCTCCTGAATTCTTTTAACTAGACAGGTCTCATCTCCCACAACTTCACACCTTGGCTCCTCGATCCCTGAGTATTATCTGCCTGGATCTAAACCAGATGTGCACATTACCTACGACTCAGCATCTCTTACCACCAGCTTAAAACTGAAATGGAACCAAAAACTTGGAACTTGAGAATCACAAATTTAAGTTGGACATGAACCACAGTTCCAATTCCACAATGGTTTGGGTGGGTCCCTCATTATATATTCCAGAAAATCAGAGGCTTGACTAAATGTTGAGTCAGAAGAGGTGGATTAACAACTTAAAGTTATATATAAAATTATTCCTGCTCTTGCCTTGTCAGGGTTAGAAGGGATGAGTCCTCTTACAGGAATAAGAACAAGAGGTATCCAGATTTTAAAAGTAGCTAGTACTAGTTTTCATGTTTTAAATAGTTTTATCTTGTTATTCCATAACAAAATTTTTCTACCAGCTAAGAAGTTCAGAAATAGAACCTCCACAAAAGACTTTCTTAGCCTGTGTTTAATAAATATCTGACAAGTGCTCTTATCTGGCACATTCGAGAGTTGCAGATTTCTGGCAAGCTTTTCACCTACAAACTAAAATGAGATCTTAGAATTTTAAGATATTGCAACATTCATTCAAAAGATCAAGGACCATCCTTATCCCCTAAAGGAAAACAGGTCTAATGGCTAGAAACAGTGCCGCCTGGAACACCAGCTCTTGGAGACCAAATAGGAGAACTGTGATAAATCTACAAACCTAAAGCTAATCTGGGCTACAAAGCAACACTGTCTCAAACAAGAAAGGAATCAACCAAAAACTGAAGAGGGAGGGGCTGGGGACCGACTCAAAAACTTGAAAGGAGAAAAAACCTTGGTGCAATTTGCGTGCTTAGCAATATTAGCCTACAGACAGAGATGAGGATAACAAACTAGGGAGAAAAAGCCATTCTCTGTACAAAAGCCAAGAGAGAAAATGAAGAAACGCAAATGTTTGACCTTCATGGGATGAAGGAAAAGCTGTCCGTCACAGCCTTCTAGGCCCTGAGATGAAGGTCAGATTATTTATATCTCCTCCACTTTCACCAATAACAGCAACTCTTACACGTTTATTTTTTCCTATAAACTATTCTCTGTAAAGCCAACCGCTATCACTTACCAGTATTCTGTTTCTTACGTAAACACACATTGGCTTTGTTGATTTGATACTGTTGCCACAGTATAATACTGTTAACTAGATATTCTGTCCAAATATGAGTATTAACACTATTAAATAAGGGCCCATCCCATTACTTCTTATCAAAATCAAGACTTTTTTATAAATTGTCTTGAACTGGGCACCTACTAATAGACCTAATGTTCAATTTTATTACAGAGTGTGCATTGAAGTTTTTAATAGATATCCAAGTCAAACATACTATGTAGTATATTCTTGAACCAGTGTTTTATAAATAATGTTTAAATCATAGCTTCTTTGTTCCCCAAAATATAACAAATACAACCTCATTCTATCCTTGACAAGCCTTGTTCAATTAGTTTAATAAAACCCTCGGTAGCATTTTAAATGTTTAATATGACTATTCTCTCAGCTTTACTATGTAACCAATTTAAATGGTTCGTAATAGAAATTTAGCACCAAACATAAATATTTTATATCATATGACATTAAGTAGAACTAATGTTTTAATTAAGGTATTATTCAAAGCCAACATTTTTTAAAAGCATGCAACAAAGCAGGGAAGGCATAATACTACTTTTAACATGACTATGTTGACATTACTGTACCATATAGACAATATCCTAATGAAAAGAGGCAAACAACTTGTACCCAAGTAGTACATTAAAACAAATGGAATGATAACATACAAACAAAATAATATCATTGAATTATGATTTTTTGTTCTTTCAAACTCCAAAAGTTGATTCTTATATATCAAATGCAAAAAAAAAACATTTTAAATAAGGTACAAATATATTTGCCAATCTCCTCAAGGAGTCATTGCTTGGAAAATGCAAGAGAATGTAGATGTGGTATAATGAATGATTTAAAGAGACAGCAACCTTTGTGGAATAAAAGAAAATATATAGAGTTTAAAATCAGCTATTTCAGTCAATGTTACAGAGATAAGCAAAATCTACATCAAAACTGAATAGAAATGTCACTTTGAATCCTATACATTTGAGTACTTCGATAAGGTACGAAATAACTAACAATGATTGTCTCTTTAAATTTGTATTCAGTATTCTAATCTCCATGCAGAAGTTTACAAGCTGCCTTATAAAATGATTTGGAAGTCAATAGTATGGTTTGGAGCAACATACCAAAGAAAGTGTTCCTACTACGCATTTTCCAAAAACATACAAATAAGGGCTAAAACACAACTTTAGTTTCTATCAGGCAGACAAAGCCTTTACCTGAACCCTAGGAACAAAAGGCGTTGTTCTTCTACTAAGGCTTTGGCTCTGGTAAGCAAAATTAAAGAAAAAAGCAATAAAACAAAACCAAAAAGGACAATATGCTGGAACTAAAAGACCAAAAGTAAAATAAACACATAAAACTGTCCCTTAAATACAATGACAATATATTTAAATTAAGTACTTTATCATAAGGAATACATATTTCCCAATGCTAAAATAGATGAAAGCTATTGAAAGCATTATAAAATATTATAATGTATTTGATCATATTCTTAAAACACAGTCAAAATAATAGGAATTAAGACTGAATGTACAAGAACATAGTCAGATAATATAATTTTAAAGGATGATTAAAGCATAACCCCAAAATGAAGAAATTTAAAACTCTACCCTTAAACACACTACAGCCTGTGATATCCATGGGTGACTGATCCCAGGGTACCACAAATACCAAGTCCACTGATGTTCAAATCCTATGAGTGACATAGCATATGCACAAGGCTAAGAGGATCTCTATGCTTTCATCATCTCTAGAGGATAAATGCTAACATAAAATGTCAAATATAATGTAAATGCTACGAGTTGTTGGTGTTTTTTATTTAAGAAACAATCATAACATTAAAGTCTACAGCTGTTCGACAGAAGCATAGGACTTTTAAAACCCTGATCCACAATTCTGTGAGTGTATGGATGTGAGCCCTGCTAAGTGGAAGCCTAATTGTTCCTAAAGTAAACTTAAGCATGACCGGGGCACGGGATCAACTGCTCACTGCACTGCTAGAGATACTGTTACGTGTCAATCACGCCTACTAACAACAGAATTTCATTGCTTTTTCTTTACAGAGTTCTTTACAGTTCATTGCCTCAAGATACTCCCAACAGCTTTGGGAGCTAACTGCTCTCGGCCCCAACAAGCAAGTGAAAACAAAAAAATCACATGAGAAGCACTAGGTGAACTTCTAAATGCTCAAAGGGTAGTAGGACATAAACACAGTTTTTAGATGGAAAGAAAAATATATCAAATTTCTTAAGCTTTTATTTTAAAATAATTTTTAGTAATTCAAAAAAATCATAACAACCTAGTCCAGGTATGCCAATGATAGATCAAGAATAAAATCGGAGGCCCTTCTCAGTCTGAGAATGGATTTAAGGACACTGAGTTCTGCTTCCCTCAGCAAGATTCCAGGCCTCTTCACATCTGTTGCGGAATGATCCTCACCAGCTGCCTGTCTTAAGGCTGTCCCGGAAACTGGTACGGATAACGGGAGGGCTTCTGCCAGGTATGGGAGCACTACACCCGGATGGTATTTATAAGAAATCTAAAGCCCACAGCCTTCACTGACACTGTCGGTCACAAGGAGTCGCCTTGTTTTCTCTCCAAAAAAAAAAAAAACAAAAAAAAAAACCCAAGTCTGAGCATTCTTCCTTGTCAAAGGGAGATCTGCCCCAAGAGGAGGGCTCAGGAGCAGGGTGGGGGCCTTCTGCCCCAGTGAATCTGCATGAATAAAGTTCAGTAAGTAGGGGAGGGCGTGACGTTCTCACAGGCAAACTAGACTTGCTCAAAGGACAAGGAACACTAGAGATTTCATTTTCCTTGCTCTCAACTCTTTTGCTTAAAACAAAATATGTCAAAAAGGGAAATATTTTATAAACATGTGTTACTTCATAAAATAAAGGGCCCGAGGTTAAAAAGAAAGTTTAAGAAATTAATCCTTTATAGCAAATACCTTGAGACAAGCCGCTATCAGATTTCTGAATAAATGTCTTTTAATCTTTATATTCACCCACGAGTTTATACATTAAAGACGACTGCAAAATATGTTTGCTCCTAGATGGACTTTTAAAATGATGTACAATACACAAAACATACAATCAATCACTAAGGTTTAAAATTCAGGAGCAATTACTGCACTGGAAAGCTGTGGGATTCTCATTTCCCGGAGTTTCAACCTTTGCCACTACCCAGAAAAACACGCCACGCCCTGTAGTCCCCCTACTTCCTCCCCGCCGCTGCTGTCTGTGCCACAGACCCTAATACTTCGTGCAGGGGTGTCGGCACTCTGTGAATGTCCAGTGTCATTTTCACTATTCCTGGTAATAGGATCGTTAGGACATGCTCTCCAAGCAACGTGTCTAGGTTCGTCATGAGAATAAAGTATTCAGACATTAATGCTGAAATACAAAACTTTAAAGGGGCACCTTTAATTCCATTGCACAGCAGAAAGTCAGAGGCAGGAGTTTCTGTTAGTTTCAGCCCAGCACGGAACAAATAGCATGTTCCAGGCCAGTAAGAGCAAATAGTGATACACTATTTAAATTTTTAAAAGTGGAAAATAAAGAGGAAAGAAAGAAAAAAGGGAGGGATGGAGAGAGGGAGGGAGGGAGGGAAGGAAGGAAGAAGGGAGGGAGGGAGAAAAACTGACACCTTCATAAATACAGTATTTTTAAATGTTCTGTAAAGGGAGATTTGAAAAACATACAATTATTCTAAAATTACTCAAATTCCTTAAATGGGCAAATAAAATTGACAGTTGTAACATTTGGTAAAAATGAAATGCAAAAATATTAAGATAAAGTAACTTTGCAATGATAAATCAATCACAGATACTCTAATGAGAAACAAATAATTATCAGTGGAATCAATAGTGTAGAGTTTCTATAGAAAAAAACCTGATAATTCTGAACCTTTTTCACTGAGAAAAAGAATGAGATATTTTAGCCTCACACCCTATCAAACTACTAGCCAAATGCTGTAAACAGATTCAAAATTTTTCCGAATCACAAAAGTTGTCTTGCAAATGAAGAAACTGCTAACTTGAAAAGCATTAAACTAAGGGAGTACTGCCCAGGAATGGGCTAACCCGCGGTTCAGGAAGAATAAACTTGATTCACTCATTCTGACTTTCTCATCAAATACGCTAATGGCCCTTTGTAGGTTAAGTCCTAGAATTATAAGAAGCCACAGGATTTAGCATGGAGAGAAAGTTAATTACACACACCTTTTAAAAATTAATCAACATCTTTGAGTATAAAATTCAATCATGAAATATCTATTATGTTTTCTATTTGAAAAAATATTAGCAAACACCTCAAATCTGTTCTCAGGCATTAGCAATGTCTTGACTTCGAGAGAAATGAACCCAAGTAGACTTTCTCGAAGCATAACTGTCCAAAGAGAGGAAAGCTGGGGTGGCTAAGGTAAGTATCAGCTTGAATGAGCCTGCAATGACCTGGGAAATGAACCTCCAGGCACACCTGTGGGAGACCATCTTGATCCTTTTGTTGAGGAGAGAAACCCATCTTAATTATGGGTGAGCCCTGGACGAAGCCAGGGCCACTTAACGTGGACAAGGGAATCCGCCCCCTGACACTACGCACGCCAACTGTGCTTTCTGATGCAGCTGCTTCAGTCCCTAAGGCCTTGGCTTCCCTGCCATGACCCACAGTACCCTGACCTGTGAGACAGAACACACCTTCTCCTTAGGCCGCTCTTTCGTGTTGGTCACGCCAACAGAAAGGAAGCTGACGGGAAAAGGCAGAGCTAAGGCTTCCTGAGAGTTTTCCCAAGACGTGAGAGAGGTAGGCATATTTTATACTACATCTTCATAGCAAACCAGACTTGCCTGTAGGCTAACAGAGATGGGGGATAGACGTGTGTGTTACCCAGGAGAGCATCTAGTACAAAGAATAAGAATGGAATTCAAAGCCACATAATGGTATAAAAGGTAGTCTTTCTTGTTCTTTTATATTCCTGGTGACAAGGACTATGATTTCTGTCAGAACTTAAAAGTTATATGTGTGTATATACACATAATGTGTATATATAAAATAGGTCATCGATTGATTAGATGTAATTACAATAGCTTTTAAATAATCTCAGTTTATACTTTAGCATGTGGATTATAATTTTACTTCTAAAAAGTTCTCTTGACACTAATCTCCTGTAGTAAAAATAAGCAACATTTGCTTCAGCGGCATCGTTACTCGTGATAATATAAACTAGAAGTTAAGTTACAATGCAGTATTATAGCTATGAAATAAAGTAAAGAGGAAATTTTAGAGATACGACAAAGTCTATTTACAGTAATAGAGAAAAAAGAGAGCTCAGGCCATGTGTTCGGGACACTCCTATAGTCCCTAAATGTATGTGGCAGCAACTGGAGACCATCCGTTCAATGCCAGCCTGGTCTACATACTAGTTTTCTGTACAGTCAAGGCTACACAGCACAGCCTGGTCTACATACTAGTTTTCTGTCCAGTCAAGACTACACAGCAAAATTCTAACTCAAAAAGAAAAATAAGAGAGAGGACAAAGAAAATGCAAAAGTATGTGAAATTTTATTTTAAAAGTATAGGCCTGTATTACAAAAAGCCATGTGCCGTGTCAGGATTATTGGTGATTTTACTTTTGGCTTTTCTGTACTAGACTTCTGATAATAATATGAACTATGTTAATGATCTCTCTTGCTTGCTTGTATGTAAACTGATTGTGTACCTGTGCAAGATTTCAAAATGTTATATAATTAACGTTTTAACTAAATTCATAGACTATTTTCCTTCCAAGCTATACAACAATACACTTTTCATATTAAGCTACAATTACACAGATTTTACATGACTGTCACAGCCTTACCAGTTTTGTCCCTCATATTATTTAGTCCTATCTGCTAATAAAAAACACCTCTAAGATCCTTACATCTGTGAACAATAGTAAAAGTCCATAAATGATTATCAAAGTTACCCCAAAGTTCCCGTGAGAGTGAAAAGCAATGAATACATGAATAATCGCTTCTACTTTAATACAATCCTTGTATGATATACCTCTTTCCTCTCTGAAGAAAACTATTGCAATTCCCAGTCATTTTAAAACAAACAGTAACGTCAACTCAACTTCTGGAATAATAATTAAGGTTAAAAAAGGGGTTACATGTCTTCATAAAAAAATCATTAAACTCTGTAAACCTAACATTAAAAGAAAGCATTACAATTAATAGTCCAAAATAAATTTTAAGTAACTATAAATTACCAAAAATGAAAAATCTGATAGAGAGATAAAGGCACAATTATGTTCTAGGAAGAACTTTGGTGAGACAAAAACAAAAAGAAAGGAAAGAAAGAAACAAGAACCTCTAACATCACATTTTGAAAACATCACTTAATATTCCCGAGGAGGTGAGTTTAGTGACACGTACTGAAAGCTGTCCGGATAGGAACTGCGGGACATCCCTCAGCATCCCAGGACTCAGGGGAGAGGTAACGGATATAGACGGACGGTCCATTTTCTGAGATTCAAAGGAGCTAGAACCTGAAATGACAATTACACATAAAGAACTGTGAAACGCCTCCTCACTATTTCAGAACACGCAACACATTTCTTTAAAACATTCGCTAAATGTCATTTTATACAGAAAGTTTAGCTGCCAGAATGCTATAAACAATCTCAAGGGGGTTTCGGTGATGTTTTGCTTTTGTTTCAAACAGTTGTCTCTGTTGTTTAGTTTGTGTTTGTGTAAGTATGCTTCGGGGATTCCCTAAGACCCAGTTACACCTCTGCTGAGCTGACTGTGACAGCCAGGGCCCCTAAAACAGGATTTATTTGTCTATTACTAAGTGTACTACACTCACACATTATAATGAAAAACACGTTAAGAATGGAAAAGGAAGGAAAGCCAAAACATGAGACAATACACCACCTAAGGGGACTTAAATGTTGAGAACATAAGTTCTAGGATGTCCAAAAACATTAAATGTTCCTGGGTGGTCTGTGAGTCATATCTTGAAGGATATAAAATATTACACAAGCAAAAGTAAGTGAGAGGCTATGAAAAAGGCATGTGGCAGCAGGGACAGTAATAACCAAATATGAAACAATGAGGATCACAGGCCAAAGGAAGTAACTCAGTGCAACAGTACTTGTCAACTACCTGTGACACCCTACATGTGATATACTCTACCTGTGACACCCTACATGTGATATACTCTACCTGTGACACCCTACATGTGATATACTCTACGTGTGACACCCTACATGTGATATACTCTACGTGCGACACCCTACGTGTGATATACTCTACGTGTGACACCCTACGTGTGATATACTCTACGTGTGACACCCTACATTGATATACTCTACGTGTGACACCCTACATGTGATATACTCTACGTGTGACACCCTACGTGTGATATACTCTACGTGTGACACCCTACGTGTGATATACTCTACATGTGATACCCTACATGTGATATACTCTACGTGTGACACCCTATGTGTGATATACTCTACGTGTGACACCCTACGTGTGATATACTCTACGTGCGACACCCTACGTGTGATATACTCTACGTGTGACACCCTACGTGTGATATACTCTACATGCGACACCCTACGTGTGATATACTCTACGTGCGACACCCTACGTGTGATATACTCTACGTGTGACACCCTACGTGTGATATACTCTACATGCGACACCCTACATGTGATATATTCTACGTGTGACACCCTAAGTGTGATATACTCTACATGCGACACCCTACATGTGATATACTCTACGTGTGATACCCTACGTGTGATATACTCTATGTGTGATACCCTACGTGTGATATACTCTATGTGTGACACCCTACATGTGATATACTCTACGTGTGACACCCTACGTGTGATATACTCTACGTGTGACAACCTACGTGTGATATACTCTACGTGTGACACCCTACATGTGATATACTCTACATGCAACACCCTACATGTGATATACTCTACGTGCGACACCCTAGGTATGATGCCCTATGTGTGACACCCTAGGTATGATGCCCTATGTGTGATATCCTCTGTGTAATACCCCATATACAACTATGTAGGAGGGGAAAAAAGAAAATAATAGATGTGAGAAATCCATTAAGCACTAAGATTTCTATCCTACTATGCAGGCCAGAAAACCACCCATGTACCTGTCAGTTATCTCTCTGGAAAGGTACTGGAACCTAGAGTTGGGTAAAGGTTACAGGAGGGGAGGGGCGGGCAGTGAAACTTATTCTGAAACCACCGTGACCTTATAACACCTTTGAGACAGGACTAAATGTCAGAGGTGAGACTAGAGATGGAATTCGGCCCAAGGAGCTGTGTGCCTACTCAGAAATGCGTGTGCATAAAATTCACCTCTGGAGAGTGTATCACGTGGCATTGTGGGGAAAGCAGCAAGTTTCGGATCAAAGATGGTGACACCTTTTCACATATTTAGAAGTAAAATAATGATGCCTTTGTAGAAATAATTTGTTATCTCACAAGGCTTAAAAAGCATGAGACATCAGAAAAATCAGTAGAGTACATTCTTTAAGGGATAGAGACACCGACAGCGCCTTTAATGGTGTATCTTCGGCCGTCCCTGAGCTGGCAGTTAAAAACCATACAGAGTAAATAATCTACAGAAGCATCCAGAACAGAGACTTAAAGACGGGTCCCTGGACAAGCACATAACTAAATGTTTAAAAAATAAACGTTTGGAAGAACTTTGAACAAAGACTCTTGTCTCTTCAGGAACTAGTTTCCCAGCACAGTCTGAGGCTTTTTAGATAGCCCTAATAAAATAAAGGGTTTCCTATGACATTCGTGGTGTCTTAACTGATATAAGGGAAACTTTACCTGCCTCATGGTTTTAAAGAGAGTCATGATCACATAGCCACAACGGCAAACAGCTGCAAGTACTAAATGAAATGAAACAGCACTATATAATCCTAATGTTTACCTATTACAGTATAGATTCATTTGAGCAGGACCAACACTGTCTTGTCACTGTCCTTAAGACAGTTACATTCCCAAGCTTTGCTTTGCTTAGGTATGACTGCATCCAACAATGTCAATGACAGAGTCACAGTGTTAGGCATAGATAGCTCTTTGAAAGCGTCTCCCGAGAGCTCCCGTGTCTTCCCAGGGCAAGCGGAAATCCTTACAGGGCTCCAAATGCTGTGAATGCGGTGCTGCTGGCTGCTGCTGTCCCAGCATCATCCTGTCCATTTTCCCCTTGCCAGCGCCACTTGGCCACGCTGCCCAGCCTCTGATTCTTTAAATGTGCCTGGTCTTCCCCGCCTAGCACTCCTGCGTTATCAGACATCTGCGCCTCTGTGCCTGTAAGCCTCCCCCGTGACAGCTACCCTCTGCAGTTGTGGTCCAGGGGCTTCCCAGTTTTGTATTGTCCTAATCAACATTACTTAAACTGCAACCCTCATCTTCTCTCCCGGTACCCTTCGCACAACTCTCAGTCAATCAAGAAACAATTCGTCAGAAAACAAACAGCACTTGAAGACAAATTAACGTAATTGTGCATTTGGCTGTTTGAATTTATATGTTTATTGTTCCTTTACTGCTGTGATCTCAAATTAGAACTACTATCTTGGTGTCAAGAAAATAAAAATCAGAATAAATAAAACTATTCAATAGTTGCTCCAAAGAGAGCAGAGTTACAACATTGCAAATTTTAAATTTTGTGGGAAAATTTGGGAGTACGTGTCTTTGGAGAGTAATAGAAATGACCATGATCTTTCATTGTAACAGATACTTGGGTACATAAGCAGCCAAAACGTAAGAGTATTCTTGTTAGGCGGTTACTGTCATATGCCTTGGTGAAGCTACTTTAAAAACCCACAGTAATGATGGCAGGGGGAAATAAAGTAATACTGAAATTAGTAGAGTTTGGTTTTTTTCTACAGTAAAATTGAAATAATATGAAAATTTCCATTTTATATGGAATTTAAAATTAGTATTTGAGACTTTATTATCTTATGTCATGTTGATAGACTAATCTCTTCATTAGACCTTTGACGAATGGCATGCTGCTCGATGACACATCCTAGAATGAATTAAACTTACTGGATTCCAGTTGCGCGTGAGTGCTATCGGGGATCCTAGGTATATCTCTGAAATGACAGAAAAGGATAAAAGAATAAACTTTTAACAACCGATGCACCTTCCATTTTCATCAAAATTACAAAAAGGTGAAAAATGATGAGCATAGTGGAAGCGTTATGAAAATGAGGCCAACCACAGCTTTTTGGTTTTGTTTCTGGACAAACTGGACTTGCTCTTCTAAATAGGGGAAGATGGGCTAAAAGTTGCCACATAGCTCTGCCTTCTCTTCCCCAGTCTGGGCTCACATGTTTGCAGCTAGCTCTAGCTGGAATTAAAATCTACGTGCATTTGTAGCAGCTTTACAAAAGCACACACTTTATTTCCTATGTGCTTTACTGTATACACATCTACTAAAAAAGGTTCTGTATTCAACAAGGTTAAGTTTTTATAAACATATATCAATTCAATTCTTTATTTTTGCCTTCTCTTCTAAATAAATTATATTGGAACTCAAATATCATTAAAACAATCCAATTATAACTAAAATTTTTAAATGCAGTGGTTACAGATAGCAGACAAATATGATTCTTATGGGAACTTCCAAAGTTACCTTGTAACCATATTTACATCAAAACTACTTACAAGTATTTGATATAGAAGACTATAAATGACTTAGAGTATTAAAATATAATTTGAGTGTACTTTAACACTAACATATATTTGATTAATACACTAAGCAGATACACTATGGTTTTACCATATTACCAAACTTTTAAAGGGCAAAGGGCTATCGCCCATTCTTTCCTAAGTGAATGAAAACAGGGCATGGTTACATGGGATAATTTCTGCAGCCTCTGTTAATAGATGCTGTTAGTCATTCGATAATTTAATAATTCCTTCAATAATCCACTGTCCAGTTAGACACTTTTGTATTTAATTTTCATACTCTCTTATATTATCATAGAATATAAGTTTCTGCAGTAAAAGGACTGCCGACACTTCATGAATTAATCCTCACAACTTACATGAAAGGGTTAAATTTACAGCAGCCATTAGCATATATAAGCTATTGGCAATGAAATACAATGACAAAGTATGTTTTAATGTTGCCTAGCTTATTGTTAATCACTTTTTTTTTTTTTGGTTTTTCGAGACAGGCTTTCATTGTATTGTTTTGGAGCCTGTCCTGGAACTCATTCTGTAGACCAGACTGACCTCGAACTCACATCTGCCTGCCTCTGCCTCCCGAGTGCTGGGATGAAAGGTGTGCACCACCAACGCCCAGCTATTAATCACATTTTTTAAGAAACTACTTTTTCTCAAGCAAGCCCTGTATCTGGGAATTATATGCACATCTCTTTTATCAGCTAGATTCTCCATTTAAAACACAAAAAAACAAAAACAAAATTATAGAATATGTAGATTATAGTGACTGGCATTTTTAGAGTGTACAAGACTAACAACACTTTTCCTAAAAGTAAACATTACAGTAGTACCCTCCTCTTACTAATAAATTTTGCTGTATACTAGTCATTAAGATAAGAACAATAGAAAACACCTAAATATTGCTTCCTTTTTTGTAATCTGCAACCTATTTTTACATAATCAGATAGAGAAAAAATTACTAATTCTGGTTAAATGTTTGAAAAAGACAAAAGATGTCTATGCAAACTTATTTTCATAAAGGAATCATAAAATTTGGGATTGCATAGTCCAAACTAATGACTAGCAGTCACCTTCGCACACATTTCTGAATCTCAGTCTGGGGCAGTGGCTCAGTGGTTACGAGTGCATAGTACTCATGCGGACGACCAGGTTTTTTTTTGTTTGTTTGTTTTGTTTTTTGCCCCAGCACCTATGTGCTGGTTCACAACCACCCACACCTCCAAAACCAGGAAGTCAGGTCTCTCTTCTGACCTCTGCATGCACCAGGCATGCACGCTGAACACATACACACATTCAAACAAAACGCTCACACACACACAAAATAAAAATAAATTTTAGAAATAAGCAAAAAGAAAAATATCACTAAGACTGTCTTACCCAATCGGCCTTGAAACAACAAGCTCGACTTGTGGTTCAGGTTTGGACTCTAGAATGATGTTGTAAACTTCCTCAAATGTGGCCCCTTGCAATAGCCTTCCATTCCATTCCAACACTTCGTCACCTATGGTGTCAGGAATAGTCTATTAACATAAGTAAGGCAAGTCCATCTAACACGCTCAAAGAAAAACTGATCGCTGGGTTTCAGCAAATGGTCAAGTACATTCACCGTCACAGAGTAACGTACATAATGAGAACAACTCAACGGCGCAGAGCTTTATGGCTAACGTAAGCATATTTCATCTGACAGGAGAGTATCCCGCGTGTGGACACACTACATAAAAGGTTATGTCCATTTGATTCCTAACTACACACAACGATCCACGTCAACTCTCTCTTCGAGGACTTCAGGATTCCATTCTAGACGTGTAGTATTTACATGACTAGTTAAGCGCTGCTTTCTTTTAGGATTTTCAATTTCTTAACTCTGAAATCTTTTGTAAGACGCTATGTGGCTCATAGTATATGAACTCTTCTTCAAGGAATTTAACGATTGTTCTACAGGAATTGGAAGAATTGGTCAAATGATACAGGGATGGCATCATTTAGAAAATGTGCATTCATTGATGAAGCTGTTTCCTAAACAACATTGGGACTTTTTTCAAAATGAAAATAAAGATTTTGGGGAACAAAATATGCCAGCATTAGAGGCAGATTAGAATATCCATCCATCAGTGATATAAAATGTATGAAGCTGGATGTATAAGGGTTAGGGGGACAGAATCAGAGAGGAGTTGGGAAACAAAGAGATGAAAATGATCAAAATATATTGTATAAAATTCTCCAAAAAAAGCATTTTTAAAAGATATTATATATAATATGGCATAAAGAAAAGGAGTTACAACTTTAAATTAATGGCTAAAGATTTTTAATGTACATGAAAGAAACGAATTATTACTGGTCAAATCACTTATAAATGAGAAGAGTTGTTTCGTAATTATTCGTGGCTGGCATTTTTCCTTTTGCAGTGCTGGAGATCACTCCCGAGACTTTGGCAAGTGCGGCAAGCGCCCTGTCACCCCAGCTGGCATCTTACATGTAAGCACCCAGTGATAGGAACCTACCTGGTCTAAGATGTCCCACGGTGTCGGCTAAACTTCCTTTTTTTACTTTGGTAATGAACGCACAGAGCCGGCCTGATTCAGTCATCTTTCCTCCTACCACCTGTTAACAGGACGGAAGGATCACAGTCATCACACTGTTAAGAGTAAGCACATCAAAGACCCAAGTGAAGAAAACCAGGACAATCCCAGGCGCTAAAACTGTGATGGAAGGTACTAAATTTCATCTCTTAATGTGGTGTTGCCCTTTGGAAAGGAGTGTCTGCATTAAGGAAACTTTTTGATTCCAAACTCGTTGTAATTTAGTTTTCTTGGTGAAAAGACACATATCTTAGAATCAACTCAACAATTTCTTTCTTATTATAAAATTCTTGTTTTTTATTTCTCAAAACATTAAGAGCACTTTCTAAGAATATAAACATTTTTAGGTAATGTTCTAATATAAATTTTATATTCTAATACAAACTTTTTCATTACTTTTACTATGATATAATAGAATATTTAGTTAATATTTTTGTTATATTTATAATATACATATCGACAATAGATCTTTCTTGAGAAAATTGTAATTAAATCATCAGAAATAACACATATTTAGATTATTTGAAGCCCAATTTCTCTATCTTTTAATTTCTGTTAAAATATTTATTTTAGAAAAAGTAATACACATTGGAAACAAGCATTAGGAATGCTGTAGAATCATAATAAAACACTGTACTCGTAAAATTAATGCTTTGATTCTGGCTAGCCAGTATTCGAGCAGTCTATATCAAATTCCAAAGCAGGTGAAGCCAACGATAGTGATTAAATTCATTGACTACAGTAAATTGGTTTGTTCTCTTACAAAGTGAGTGAAAGATCACTGAAATTAAAAATACATACATTCCACAATTACAGTGTATTTCCTCAATTGCAATTCAGTCAGTACTAATTAATATTGTTTAACTCTGAAGGTTACATGTAAATTTCTTAAGGCTTCACATCTTCATGCAAAAATTTCAAGAAAATCGAACAACAATAGCACTGTAATGATATAGCATGATTATACTGCCAATGGTGGTTATTACAAAATTCAGATACTATGCTACTGTATACTGCTTTACTTTATCTTATTTTAACAACTCAATGTCCAGGCTAAATTCTCCACTGTATAGACAGTATCTGGGACTAGACGTTTAGTCTCCCAGGGTGGAGTAAACAGGAGCTACTCTCCCTTCTTGCCTGCGCTTTACCCTCCAAGACTCTTGGTCTCCTGGCTGTCCACTCCTATCTCCCGCCTCTCCGTGTGTGGCCTGGCTCAGGGTCCTGCTCGCTCTGGCCTCTCACAGATGTCTCTGCCTCTGGCTATGCTCTCCTTCTCCTTCACCATTAAAAAATAAAATAAAAGAGAACTACTCTAATTGAAATAAAATCCAAGCCTTTCTAATCTCTGTACCCACTGCTTTACCAAAGGCACCCTGAATTTAAGTCCCAGCACGGTCACCACCTCTTCATGGCCACGGAGAGCTCTAGGAGCGCTGACTGCGGTGAGAGACATGAAATAATCAGATACGTGACAAACACTGTAATCATCCAATCTCACCACACCAACTTTTTTAGTTACTGTGTTCTAGAGTACATTTTCTATAGCAATGGTCTAACCAGAAACATTTACTCTGATTCCAGCTTTTCATTAGGTATATTAGACATAAAAAACTAAAGGAGCTCTATTTTGTATATTTGCTAAATACTATTCCATGACCTTGCAGTTCAAATATAGACATTAATATTTTTGTCACCTAACATAATTATTCAGGGGTTCCCAGATTTCGAATGGTATATTTGAGGATTGATATACTTCAGTTGTAGAGTGTCTGACTAGCATGCATAAGGGTATTTATTTGACCCTGACACTCCAAACCAATACAAACCAGTTTTCTCTAAAACATACCCATCTACACATACAATTTACTACATCAACACAAAATCATATTTTGATATAATACATATATTGCATTTTCAAGTTTGCATACTAAAAAATTAAATAAAGCCACTAGTTTAATACTGGCATAAGTACAGGCAAGACAAATAGTTTAAACTCAAGTATATTCACTGTGTTTAGGATTCAAACCTTTTTTTATGAGGTTATTATCAATGTCTTTTAAAAATGATTGTAAAACTGCTGTTACACAATCTCAGGACATAACCACATGCACATGTATATGTGTGAGCATGAATGCTTGTGTATTTGCAGGTGTACATGTATATAAGTGTGCACGGGAATGAATGTGTCCTCAGATGTACACGTGTCTGAATATGCATGGGAGTGTGTATGTGCTCGTGTTTATGTATATAAGTGTGCACAGATGTGTGAGTTTGCATATGTGCATGAATGTGCCTGGATATGCGTGTGTGTTTTCAGGCATACCTCTGTGTAGTATGCATAGATTTGTCTGTGTTTGCAGGTGCACATATATGTGTATAAGTGTGCATGGATGCTTGTGTGTTTACAGGTGCACATGTGTATAGTATGAATGGTATGTGTTTGCAGGTGTGCATGTGTGTGAGTATGCATGCATGTGTGTGCATTTGCGTCAAGGCCAGAGGACAACCTTTAATGTCCTTCTTTTCCACTGACCTAGAATTTGCTGAGTAGCTTAGGCTGGCGGGGCAGGAAGTACAAGACGTCTCTGCATCCTCAGCTTCAGGATTGCCTGGCTTTGTGTGGGGGCTCTGGGGCTAGGAATCAGGGCCTCTTACACACAAGGCAGTCCCTTTACCTCTTGACTATCCATCTACCTGGAAACTTCTTCTTTTTTTTTTTTTTTTTTTTTGGTTTTTCGAGACAGGATTTCTCTGTATTGTTTTGGAGGCTGTCCTGGAACTCACTCTGTAGAACAGGCTGGCCTCGAACTCACAGAGATCTGCCTGCCTCTGCCTCCCGAGTGCTGGGATTAAATAAAGGCGTGCGCCACCAACGCCCGGCTACCTGGAAACCTCTTTAAAACGCTTGGAAGAAGAGTTTACAGGAATAAGTGACAATGCTTTAGAATTCTTGAAAATGGAACTAAGATGGTCCTTAGGTTGGCACAGAGAGAAAGAACTGTATTTGTTTCATTGATAGATGACACAGAGCCAAATCCCATAAAGTATTACATACCTTCAAGCCCAGCATTGCTCCTGAATCTCGAGGCACACTCCCATCTTTCAAACGCTTATTTAATAAAATACGGCCAATTAGGCGATCTCCATCTTTGCATGGCTGCCAGGTCACAGGATGCTGACGTCAACAAATAAGAAAAATTAGTTTTATTTCCAAGTAGCAGGACTGCACAGTATCTCTAAACTCCACAGTTCTAACATGCTATGATTACACAAACCAGTTTACATTCCAAATTACTGACTTGAAACTTCCTATATGCTTTTTAATAAAGCTAATTTTATTAATCCAAGGTCTTCTTTTAAATCCAATTATAGAAAACTCTCAGTAATCATCTACCACAATGCTAAAGGATAACAGCTCTGAAATTGTCTTTATAACATATGTTAAGTGAGCTTCACAGGCAGACAAGATGCAGTAGAAATCTACTTAATAGAACTCACTAAAAGGTGACCATTTCTTCTTCAAACACTTTTGGAATTTTTCGAAGTACTCTATCTTAGTAAAAGCTAAAAGGGCTAGGCATTAAAATGTGAAATCTAAACTCATAGTGAAAATTAAAACCACAATTCCAAGAACTACATAAATCCCCAACACCTGTCCAGCTGAATCTGTATGGAAGACCCAGGATTTACTCAAAGGCAAACATTATGCTTCTCACTTTATAAAAAATCATTGATTTATTTTGAGGGGTTTTGCTACAGAACCCAGCCTTGCCATGAGCTCACTATGTAGCTTGGGTGGGCTGGATATTACTATGTAGCCTTTGCTGGTCTCTAAATCTTAGGGTTTCCCTGACCCACGCTCAGCTTCTACAATGATGGCATTAAGGACATGGGCCACCACAGCTGGTGAAGACCCTACTGTTTTAGACTTTTTAATTTATTCAGTAAATTCCTTTTAAGAGATCACTCGAAGACAATTACTGTTAGATAACAATAATACTACCAGCTTGTTTCTTTCTTGAGTTTAGAATTATGGCTTTATAAGTGACAAACCATTTCATTATTAATAATATGTTAAGCAACAAAGTAAGTGATTTGTGTAATCATAGTAACTCCATGGTCACCTGAAAGGGACATGCGAAACTCCATGCAAAATTTAGCAGGCAAAAGACAAGTTCCAGGTGATCACATCTATATGGTAAAAGATTGATTTATTTTTTTGGCTACACTAAAAGCAAATGAAATAATAAATACCAAAGCGGGTGGCAATGACTCTACTACTGATTAATGCTACATGCTGTGACAACAGAACAGAAGAACTCAGTGACAGTGAAGGGAAAAAAAGAAAAACAACGTCTTCTGTGCAAACAGACGCGATTATCTCCCTTTCGCCTGGGATTCAAACTACCGATTATCTGATTTTTTCATCCCAAGGAAAATATAGGTAGACAGTAAAATAAGCCAATTCAAAAATATTTATTTACTGCTTATAGCATTTCAAAGTTCTCTCGTTCGACTGTACACAAAACATTCCTTTGTTCCCAAGTTTTATTTCCATTCACTTACATTTTGCTATGCTGTCAGTCAAGGGAAACAGCAAGGCAGGCAAAAGGCTTTTTTTTTTTTTTTTTTGGCTTTAGTTGTTTTGTTTTTCTTTTCTGCACCTTAAGAAATGCTACATTGACCCTGGAAATGCCCTGTCCTTCCATTATGTCCTGTTTTCACGAGTGACGGAGAACAAATGAAGGGAGACCGAATGAGCAGGCTGAGGGCAGGGCTGTAGTCTCAGTACCTTATCACTATGGCTATGCTCCTCGTTAAGGGTGGTGCTACTACACGTGTCTACCCCAGAGTCCTTAATCTGAGGCTCAGACCATTCCAAATCCTCTTCCAAAGAGTGGCCACCAAAGTACATCCTTCTCTTTTGTCTCTCAGACCTGGTGTTAGAGTCCGACAGAACTCCCTGCTCACTAGTTTTCCTTTTTCCCTTTTGACTGCCCCCTACAGGTGTGAGACAAAACAAAAGAAGATACAAAGAAAAAGAAAACATGCAAAGGTGTAAATTAAAAAAAGGAAAGCGTGAAATGATAACGGAAATTCAATAGTAAGGCTCCGCATGTCTCACCAAAGACATTGGGGACGTCTCATTGCTATGCCAAGACGTGTGGTCCAACCAGCTGTAATCCATGTCTCCTGGGACAGCCGGCAGACAAGAAAGCAATAAAGGGGACAGTGGGAAAGGACAGACGGAGAAGTTATAAACATTTAAACCGTGGGAGCCTGTCTGCTTTCAAGAACTCTATTTGTAGTACTCATTAGATACCAGGAAAATGCTGATTCCAAATAGAATTCATAAATGCAAAATATAAGGCTTTTGTAGTCCAGACAGACCTACAGAACAAAAGCCCTGCAATAATTCTTTAAAAATAGAATACTTTTGCTACCAATAAGCAAAAGTAGAAACGCAAACTATTGGATAAGCTCATTAAGACAAAGATTGGTCAGCTATGTCTGGTTTGAGCTCATTTATTTTTGCATGCTGGTGTAAAGCCATGAGTTTTTTCTCAAGACTGATGAATGTTTGTAAATGAAACAGTAGCTCAGCAATGGTACTATATTAAATCCAAATAACTGAATATTGTTCCTGGAATGACATATAATAATCTTTATAATGATGAAAACTCCTCAAAATCTTAGGTGGTTAAAAAAATAGTTACACAACAGATTTTCTGTATAAATGATTTAAAAAGTTTCATTCCATTATCTATCAGTAGAAAGAAAAAATGAAATCATAAATTTTACTTATACAACATGACTTACTTAATACTACATTAAAATAACTTATTTTTTGAGAAATTACATTGCTACAGTTTTGATAGGCAATTTACATGCTGGTAACTTATGATAAAAAATCTATTTCCCGATAGTAATGTGATTATTTACTTCTTATTTCCAAAGGGACTTCTTTTCAATCTATGTACATATGTATACACATATTTTAAGTACTATTAGTATCCTCATTCATTTAAAGATATTCACTGAATACCTTCCATTTCTTCTGTATTGTGCTATGCTCTAAGATAAGGGGTAACACAATGAAACACGTTTGCAACAGTGTGAGGAGAGAGAGAGACAACAGATTAGTGTGTCACGGGAGAGAACAAAAGACCAGAAGAAAACACAAACTCACCAAACACCTCTATAGAAACTATTTTTAAGGTGGGAGCCAAAAGACGCGGTTTAGTGGACACGTAAAGAGGTAGACGTACGGAAAAGAAAAGAAAGAACATTCCACTAAGACATAATAACACCATATTGTGAAAAAGAAAATAAAATGGGACAGGGGGGCACGAGCATACCTAAACAAAAGGAATGAAGGAGGACACAATGTCATACAAGACCGGAGATAAATCACAGCACAGCTTACATTCGTAGTTTTACGCCGTATTCAAGGTTACCATTTTCAAACAAGACAAAATCTGACCTAGGCTTTAAAAAGCTGAATATAAATTCTAGAGAGCAGGCTAGAAGGAACAAAAATTGAAACGTGTTTTCCGTAACCTCAGGGAAATATAAAGGTGGGTGTAGCCTACACAAGGTTAAGGACTGTTGCTCACACAAGAAAGAGAGCAGTGAGACTTCTCGGTATCAAGGTTTCTAGTCAAAGCAACTGAGCAAGGAGAAAGACAGTTTCTGAGATGGCAAAACTATGGGAAGAACATTTCGGTGAGAGAAGACATAGTAGTAAATTATTTTATAGATGCTGAGGTGGCATTAGTGTGAGATTCTTATTTCATAATAGCAAAATTGTTTTTCAAAGTACATCTTACACGTTATGAAGCAATGGTTGGCCTGGATCTAGCACTAGAATGGGAGTATCCAGAATAAAGATGTTTAAAGTCCCTAACAGGGCAACATCACAGTCAGAAAGCATGTTAGAAATACATGCACCAGGCACCAACCACTCTAGACCCAGAGAATCAAAAAGAAATTGATGGGGCCTAGTGGTCTATAATAACAAGACTTCCAAGAAATTAGGATCTCACGTACAAGTGTCTAATGCCATGGTGATGTGATTTGTAGTCTACAAGTGTGTTAGGCCACATTCACAGCTTTCCCAAGACACAGACAAACACAGTCCAGAGACTGGAGACAATTCTCTTTAAAGGTTTGTTCATGAAAACACATTAAACTGTCTTAAAATGTATAGGAATAACTTCATACTTCACCCATGAGCCAGAAAGGTGCTCCCTAAACAACTTTATCACACAGATAAACAAGTTAGAACCCAGTAGCACACACTGACAGATGGAGGTGACCACACCATGGTATATTTATATCCTGGCTTGGGACTACTCAAGAGCCTCAGAGTATTTGTATCTTAGAAAACCTGCTTCCTTATAAAAAAGTACTATAGTTCTGTGAGAAATCATCTATATGTTTCTCAATTGAAGGAGATAAATAGTATGAAACCCATAAATGAGTGATTTATATGAAGGTTAGGGAATTCATTCACTTCATAATCTCTCATCTTCCCCTGATTTCAGACCACACAAAGGTCAAAAATGTGGCCCTGTACTCTGTAAATAAAGTAGTTTATTTCTTTAAATCATCTGAAACTAAAGCAAAAATAAAGGGGAGTAAGAAAATCAGATGCCTGGCATTGAATAGCATTTGTAAAGGAGGAAAACTAGTGTCATTTTGAGAATTAAATAAAATAACCATCATCAAGCACATTAAAAAAGGCTTAATTAAGGCAGTGGTGACACACGCATGACTTTAATCACAGCATTCGGGAGACAGAGGCAGGTGGATCTCTGTGAGTTCAAGACCAGCTTAGTCTACAAGAGCTAGTTCCAGGGCAGCCTCCAAAGCCACAGAGAAACCCTGTCTCTTAAATAAATAAAACCAATACAAATAGTATTGTGTAGACATTGGCAGTCACTGCTTAATATTAACTTTTGTATGACTTCAAAGGGTAAAGATAAGGCAATAAAACATCATTTGGTGACGCCATAAAAACACACTCATGGATCTAGAGTTAGAACGGTTAAAAGACACAACGTAACCAGATGGAAAGTTTATAACTGAAATGTAACAAAGCAGATAGATAGGCTCCGCTGCAATGGAGGAGGACAGAGTGATGGCTGAATGCCTTTGAGTGTAGAACAAGACTCAAGTCACTCAATATGGAAAACAGAGACAGACTTAAGAATTACAGGAGATGACCCGAGAGATGCAGCAAAAAAACACTTGTGGAATATTCCTTTACACCGTGTGAATATATATCACTGTGATTAGTTTACTACAGAAGCTGACTGGCCAATAGCTGCACAGGATGAGGTTAGGCGGGAAAGCCAGACTGCGAATGCTGGAAGGAAGAAGGGCATGGAGCTAGACAGTCACCAGCAGATGCAGAGAGAAGCAGGATGGGCATGCCACACAAGAAAATGTACCAAGTCACATGGCAAAGCACAGATAAGAAAGGTGGGCTAATTTAAATGTGAGAGTTAGCTAGTAACAAGCCTAAGCGATTGGTCAAGCATTTGCAATTAATACACACGTCTGTGTAGTTACTAGGGACTGGCGGCTGGGAAAGAAATGTCTGCCTACAGACACTCACTCTCATCAGAGAATGAGAAGAAAACATGAATACATTGAAGAAGTACTTGAAGTCAGAAGCTGAGACTGTCCCCACACTGTAAAAATTTAAGCCTACAGATCCAAAATAGTATGTGTATCTTTAAGTTAGAAGAACACAAAAATCCACACAAAGATACAGCCTAACCAAACTAAAAACTAAATATTATCACACACACACACACAAAAAAATACCTTATAGGAAGGACTAAAAGAATTACACTGAACAACAGCAAACGTTGCATCAGAACTGGGTGGGTTACAAGAGAAAGGCCAGTCTAGAGTCTAATCATCTTTCAAGAATGAAGAGCATTTTCAGACAGAAGAAGGCTATGTGAGTTTGTCACCAGCAGACAGACTCTAAAAGAAGAGCTAAAAGAAGAATGGCTAAGGACAGCGAGACAGGGAAGGACATGGAGCCTGGAAATAGCAAAAGGGAAGCATGGGGAATAAAAACATGGATAAACACAATAGAATTTTGTTCCCCTGAGCCTTCAAAATTATTTAAGACATCTGAAGTGCAAAGTATATAATGCCTAATTTGGGGTTCTCAACACACAAACAAGGAATATTATGGGGGGGGATAACTAAACATAAGAGCAAAAGGTTCCTCTATTTACCTCTAAGTGGTTAGCTGTGCATGCTGGTAGCATGTAAAATGTACACATGAAATATATTACATCATATAGAGCAATCAATAAAAAACTATGAAAAGAAAAAGTATAGAAAAGTAAAAAATGTACAAATAACTCATGGGAATACAATAAAAAGAAATCAGAAACCAAAGGAAGGAAGGAAAGAATGGAGGGAGGGAGGGAGGGAGGGAGGGAGGGAGGGAGGGAGGGAGGGAGGGAGGGAGGGAGGAAGGAAGGGAGGAAGGTAGGAAGGAAGGAAGGGAAGAGTCAATGACAAATAAAAAGAAAGTGAAAACAATAAATCTAATTGCGGACATGGAAATGCCTAACAAAATATACATAGATAAAGTTTATCAAGGAAGAAATAGTCAACAGCCCAGTGTAGTTTTTTTCAGAAACACAGATATTTGAAAATCAATATAATTCATCATTTATAAAAATTAAAGAAGAAAATCAGATGATCCTATCAATTTATCTATGAAAACATAAGAATTCAGAGAATGATCAATAGACAGAAACTTGAGTAACATAAAATCTAAAGGCACTTAACAATGAAAGCTGTCTGCTTTATAAATACAAAAAAATCATCAAAAAGAATGATGGGGGGATAGTAAGGGGGTGTGGGAGGAGGGGAGGGAGAGGGAACTGGGATTGACATGTAAAACAAGCTATTTAAAATTAAAATAAAAAAAAGAAAAGAATGTCATTATTTATGTAGTTCTAAAG